TTTCGGTGATATCGAGTCCCCCGTCCTTTAACTTTACTTTTGACCTTGAGGGCCACATGATGTTGCAAAATAAACGTTATCTTCGATGTCCTCGCACCATAACTGACCTTGAGATCTTTTTCAGAGAAATCGGAACTCGTCGCTGAATAAATCGCTGAAAAAATCGCCAACTTCACGGACAAAGGTAGTATGTACCTCGAACCAACCAAGCTGTCAATTTCACAAGGAAACATTGGCACCTACATCAAAAATGGACAGCTTTACGCAGGGGCGAATCCGAAATTTTCTCAAGAAAGGGACTACGCTTCATTGTGATGCTCCCTGAAACTTGACACGCCTCACAAAAACTCCCCGGGTTTCGGTCACTTTGTTTTCAGATTCCTATGTTGTCATCAATTAACATTTTTCCGCCGGAATAGTCCGCCGGATCATAAAGATTAGTTGCGCTTTAAGGGTCCCAATTTTCTTTTCTGGGATGACCTTATTTGACTGCGAGCTGCCAAAAGCTACCAGAAGATGCAATGAATCACGCGTTTAGAAGCAAATAAAACGAAATTAAGTAGGAATTAAATAACTGTGTCAAGTAATCAGCAATTGATTTGCACCTTACGATGGTTCATCCGCACCTTTCCATTAAACACTAACAGGGGCATCATCAGATTGTCTCGGGGTTTTCAGATGTTGGGGGCCCATGAATGGAACGCCGGCGTAGATCAAAACAAGGTAAGATGTTGCATTAATATGCTTGGCCTTCGTTCGCCTGGAGGATTTCACCCTTTCTTTAGAATTCATCAGCAAATAGAACATTATAAAATCGTTTTAAACGTATGCGCTTGCCGTCAGCGAGAAAAACGTCGACGCCAGACGTTGCAGTCTCCATGGTTCGCGTGGTGTCTGCTTCGCAGCAATCTATGGCGGCGGCCAACAGACGGGTGAAAATGACCAACTGTCGGAAAGAGGTAGCTCAAACGCCTCCCCAAAGCAACTGATATGGCGTAGAAGGCATCCTGACCACATCCAGCACCACGAACTCGTGACGCAATAGTGAACGAGTATCTCTTACTCGTGTTGCTGTAGCTGCCAATTTCGTTCAAAAAACATTCAACTTTGCAAGCGCACAGGTCAAACGTTCTGATCGAAAGCTGAAGGTCATTTCGTCACGCCCCGGGGTTCCTAGCGTCTGCCGTGTGGACGATACTGGGACGGTGGCCTTCTGGTCGGTACGGCAACCCTCAGAGGGATACATCACACACCAGTTTCCTCCCGGATGCGGCAGGCCCTCTAACCAGGACATCCCGAACCAGATCGACGCAGAAGCCCTCACTGATGCAAAAGGATCTCTTACCGGGGCAGGGAATCCAGTAACTGGTGCCGAAATGATCCTGCCTGAAATGGTGCGTTGGACTACTCGTTCGGCACTGGGGCCTATGGCCAACACAGGGTCTTTCCAATGCCTCATTATGGACGCCATTCCCCCCGTCCCCATGTCTCCTTTCATTGTCAAGAGAATCCCGACCAGTGTAAGAGGTCATTTGACCTTCGTATCCCATCAGTGCCCCTATTAAGCAAATGTGCCCCCGGCTAACCTGGAGTTCATTGCCGACACAAAGTCCCCTGTTAGACACTGTGGGGTCGTTGAGTGTTTCAGGGGCCCGACTAAAGCGTTGCAGGCCCCAACCTTGCCCCTCCTTGGGGAAGGGGCACCCTAGGGACCAGAAAGGCACGGAACCAACTGTACGGTATTGGTGGTCTTAGTCCATTTACTGACATAGAGGCCCTTACCCTCCCAGGGTTCTCCGATCGGTGCAAGAGGCACTCTGACATTTGAGGGTCCGGCTTTCGGGCTGTTGTGCTTTCATGTGGCTTCCGGCATGCCCTTCGAACATTCCAATAGCGCCCTTAATTGCCGAGTTTAACTACGAGGCTGTTCTTTTAGGACTGTTATTGCTAAATTTGTGATACAAACGCCTTCAATATAGGTGTACACAGAATGGGAATGTGCCCGTGAATATGTCCGCAATGTGTCGACTTACATCAGCGATTTATTTGGCGACGAATTCCGATCTCACTAAAAACACGTCAGACCGTCACTTATTGCACGAGAACGTCGACAATGACGTTCATCTTGCAATTTTATGTGACCTTCAAGGTGAAATGCAAGATAACACGACAAACTCTATACCACCAACAAAATTAGCGGCCGATTTCAATTGCCTAAAAATCAAAATGTTTATCACCACAAGAGCCTTCGTCCATCAAAAAATATCAAAACTCATGATCACCTTTCAAGATCAAACTCATCCCCAAAGGACGGGGAATTCAACATCACCCAAAAATGCCGGCATATTTCAAATTTTCAAGCATCAAAATATTCACAAAAGCAGGAACTAGTGTCTGCCAAAAAGTCCTGAAAACTAAACATACTTTTCAAGGCCCAATTCAGGCTAAAAAAAACCGGGGCAGTAAGAAAAATGCCAGTCGATTTAAGCATTTCAACTATCGGCACATTTAGCAGAATATTTACCTGAAAACTCGTGCTTACTTTTCAAGGTCAAACTCACGCCCAAAGCACGGACGATTTAATATTACCAAAGAACACCGGGATCAAATTAAATTGATAGTACTGTTGGATAATTATCAGCGTTCGTCAAAAATCGTGACCTGGCAACACCGCCTTGCAAAAACAGGTTCAGGCTCAATGCACGGGGAACTTCATATCATCAAAACATCACCGGCCGATTTCAACTTTTTAAGCATCACAGAAATCACTAGCGCATGAATTAGCGTCCGCCAAAAAGTCCTGCGCTCTCAAGGCCACTCTTCTAGGTCAAATCTGTACTCAACTGACAGAGAACCCATCACCTATAAATATCTGGGCGATTACGGGTTTTTAAGTGCCTAAGTCATCACTATGGCATGCCATATCGCCCATCATCAGTCTCTGGCATTTCAAAATCACCTTTCAGGGTCAAATCCAAGCTCAAATGACGGGGAACTCCATATCACAAAAATACCAGCCGATTTCAACTTCTCGGGCATAAAAGTATTCACCAGCGTAAGAACTAGCGTATATCAAAGAGTCCTGAAAACCCGAGGCATTCCTTTAAGGTCAAGTTCAGACCTAAATGACCAGGAGCCTCAATTTAACCACATAATCCCGGATAATTTCAACTCCTCAAGCATGAGAATAATCACCAGTGCATGAACTAGCGTCCGTCAAAAATTTCTTACCTCTCAAGGTCACCTGTCGAGGTGAAATTCAGTTTCAGAAGACGGTAAACTAAATATCAACTAAGAAATTACAGGCTGATTCGTATTTCTAAGTACCAGAATAATCACGAGCACCAATCACATGCGCCAGTGATCATTCTGATACTTAAAAATCGGGAACTGGCCGGTAATTTTTGGCGATATGAAGTAATCAGCCATTTGAACACGAATTTGACCTTAAAAGGTGTCATTGAGTTTTAGGACGTTTGAACGCCCGCTAGTTCTGGCTCTGCTGTACACTTTTTGTGCTCGAGAAATTAAATCGGCCGGAATTTTCGATGATTTGGAGCTGCCCATCCTTTGAGCCCGAATTTGACCTTGAAATGTAACCTTAAGAGGTCAAGACTTTTTAATGGAAGCTAGTTCATGCGTCAGTGATCGTTCTGGTGCTTAAATATCCGGGATCGACTAATAATTTTTTGTTGATGTTGATATTAAGTTTCCCGTCGCTGGATCCAGCAATTTGACTTTGAAAAGCACAGAGTTTTCAGGGTTTTTTGATAGACGCTGGTTCCTTCGATGGAGAATATTCTGGTGCCTAAAATTTTTAAATGAGCCGGTAGTTTGCTGATGATATGGAGTTCCCCGCGCTTTGACTTCGCATTTGACATTGGGTCAGGTGATGTTACCAAATCAGCATTACATTCGATGTTCTCGTGCAACAATTGGCTATCGGACATGTTTCCAGAGAAATCGGAATTCGTCGCTGAATAAACCGCTGAACAACGCAGAAAAAGCTTCTGGGATCGCTGGTGTGGTTTGGTTCTCCTCCCAGCTAAATACCAATGTAAAATATCCGTGACTATGCCAATAGCGGAAACCATCGCTATACACAGTTACATATTTGCAGATAGAGTCTGGGCTGCAGAAAACTGGACTGGTTTACTGTTTTGGGTTCCACAGATACGTTTTGGAATTACAGCTTAGGGCCATGCTTTCCATTCAACCCAGGCATTGAGTGATGTTTGCTGTTTGAACATGTTCTGCCTAGCTGTATCCATCAGATGTTCCTACAAACCATTACGTGCTTGCACGTGACCTACGGGTTGTTTATAGGGCGCATTCCGATGGAATGAATCGCCCTGATGCCGTGACCGTTCGGGCCGTTCCTGCAGTCAGGGCGGATATTCCGACCGTCCTGAGGGCAGGTTTCTGCCTGCCTCCTGGTCGGGGCAGCTATTGGGAATATGCGACGCACCCAGCTGCTGAGGCTTTGTGGCGTCGCCTGCCTGTCACCTGGCAGGCGCGGCGGGTGCGTCTCCTGATCACCAAAGCTGCCGTAGATTCATTGGCGATTCCCCTCAACCGCTCTAATAAATGGGGAGTAGCAAATGTGTGGGTGTGGGCGCGGGGGGGGGGGGAGAGAACCAGGAGACCGCTGAGCACAAATAACATCGCAGAGTACTAAAATACCACGAGCTTGAAAGCTGGTTATATCTCTACGAACCCCCTCCCCGGCATCGCTGAGTTTACATCTGATCCGACACTCACGGCATCGGGCGTGATCGGCATATCCCGTGTCCGGCTGGCAGCGCACCAGACTCATCTCGTGCGAACCGGCCCAGCCGCCAGCTGACTGCATGCCGCGGGGTTGCGGTAGCCGGCCGGCCGGAGGTCAGCCGGAGGTCAGAGAGCGGCGGAATACATGGCTCCACCGAGCACAACTGCATTTCGTGGGACGGTAACCCAGAAGAGCGACAACCGGCCGGACGCGAAAGAACAACGCGAGCTTCAGACTGTTATTTTATTAGGGCGTGTCGACTATGGCACCGCACACAAAGACCGCTCGACATCCAATAAACAGCTGGCCGGCTCGCGCGGTCGGCGGGGTGGGTGGGCCGCGCTGTTAACTACGACGACAACGTCAGCCGCCCCGCCGGCCGCGCGGAGGCCGTGCGGAGGCCCCGAGCCCAGCCCGTGCGCCCGAGAGACGTCAGCGATGCAGTGCGCGAGCAGCGCCTCGGCCGCCGACAGCGCGCCGGGCTGAGCACAACGTGGACCGAGCAGAGCCGAGGCGAGGAGAGAGCGCGGCACAGCCAGCCGGCCCAGCGGCAGCCCGCCCGCCGGACTGGTCGCGCGACACACACCGGCGGCGGCGGCGGCCGCTCGGGCCATCCCCGCACGTTCGAGAACGCAGGGGAGTCTGGTTCGGCGCCCAGGCGGTCCGCCCCGCGCGACGGGGCCTCAGACACGTGAACACTAGCGCCTGACGTCACACCCCGAAAAGGAGGCGTCCAGAGGCGAAGCGCACAGGAAGCGGCAGGAAGCATGACTGTTGTGCGAGGGCCTTGGCGGCGAACTGACCCTTGGTTTAAAGAGTTCCGTCTCCACCAGACGCAGTGGGCGGACGTTAACAAGACACGGCGCCGGCCTCCTCCCGTCTCGAGGGAGGCGGCCGGACGGCCGGACAATCTAGGCTACCGTTCAGATCTATCCGAGAAAGAGCGTCGTCAAACAGACCGTGGGGATACAAGTAACAACTGTTCCTGGTTTAGATCTCGCAAGCCACTGGAGCCGGCGCAGCGGCGGCGGAACCACGCCGCGCTGCCATCCGGACCAGCGACCAAGAAGCGCGCACGGCACAAGAAAGGCGGCTAAAAAAATAAACGTCTCCCGAGGGCCCGAGGCGGGAGGCGCCGGGCGAGCGGCGGCAAGCCGAGCCGCTACACCGTCTCGTACTCTTTCTTGATGCTCTTGCTGAGGCAGCAGGCCAGGATCACGCCCAGCACCTGCCGGCCAGACGGCCGCCGTCAAATGGCGGCGGGGGCTCGTCGCGCAACGGCCGAGCAATGACATCTCCATGTTCTTTAAATAACAGCCCCCCCCCCTCCCCCCCTCCGAACAACACATCCAGGGCGCTCACTCAAGACATGCGCGTTGCCACGCGAGCGACTGAAACGACCCGGCGACACCGAACGGCACTAGACTGGCGCCACCAGCGCCGTCGCACCTCCAGCACCACGTGCTCCGCCTCTGCCTCCGCTCCGTCGCCGCCGCGCTCGCCTCACCTGGAGAAAGGCGATGCCGACGCCGGCGCCACCAACAGCCACGATGTTGGACTGGATCTGCTCCTCGACCGAGTCGCGACAGCCGCGGGTGTAGATGGTGTTGGCGGCCACGGAGGCGGGCAGCGCCGCCATGCCGACGCCGCAGTTGGAGGTGGCCTCGCGGCAGCACGTGTCCGGCACAGAGTTGTTGGCCCGGCCGAAGTCGGTGAGCGCCCAGTCCGTGTAGTTGGACGCGCCGCAGCAGTCCAGCTGGCGGGCAAAGGGCGCCCGGTCAGCCCGGCCTCAGAGATCATGAGGTCAGTGGGGACGGGCATGCATGAAGACGGACACGGTGGCCAGCCTCGCCACCGGGCGGAGGCGTCAGCTGGAGCACTTAACGGGTCGGGTAAACCAGTGGGTACCGATCGCGAACAGGTAAGGGACTGGATTGGCTACCGACTGGGGCAAATTACGGGTATGGGTAACATTTTTACGAAACGGCGGGCCGATGCCCAAGAAATACCGCCGTGACTGTCCGCGTTTCTTTTATGCACAACGGGCTGAATTTACAGTACTTTTGCTGTCAACTCCTAGCAGCTTCCGGTGTGAAGATTTCCCCAAGTCTTTCCAAAATTCGAACTAAAATGCCCAAAAACCGCAAGCAAGTGGGAAATGGCTGGATACAACTGGTTAGGACTGGGAAGCGCGTGAATATGCGCACAACAACATGGATAGTGGGTAGATTGGATAAAGGAAATATTGCGAATGAAACCCTTTAAAGAACCCAAACCACGCGTGTTTCGTCAGTCAGTAGCGAATGCTGGATAACCATTAACGACAGCGGCTACATTAACTGAGATGTCTCTAAGCTCTTGGAGGGTTCACCCGAAACCTGCAGAAGGGGGGGGGGGGTCAGCGGCCCGTGCGTAGTGAGCCCGGGGCTCTGATGGGCACGTTGCACGTACGCATATAACTCATGTCATCTTCCAATCGCAGAGCGCTCAGCACCCATAACGCAAAAATTGCAAGGCAGGGCGGACATGCCGAACGACAGTTACCAGATGAATTGTTGAGCACATGTTGAGCACACTAGGCTTCCCCTGGAACATGCATGCGTCGAAGTACATATATAATAGTCAGCCGTCCTGTAACGCCCATTCCATCAGTCTGCCGACGTGCGAGCAGACCAGCCCGTTGACCCGACAAGTAGGCAGACGGCAATACTGACCCCAAAAACCATGCCGTTATCTCAAACACCGGAAACCGAAACCGGCCTGAAGGCGCCACTTGCAAAAGCGGAATATAAGAGACCGAATATGACTTTTCAAGTTGGTGGAAGATAACCGCAATGCTTAATGGTACATCATGTATGCACATCCACAACAGCGCACTATGCGAGTCCTGTTAATAAAGGGCTGCCTGTTTCTGGGTTCCTGCGGTTTCTGGGCGCCACGGCCCGCACTAACTTAACACCGGAAGGCCTGTGAAAGTGTGTGGACAAAAGTGCCGCACAAGCATACTGCTGACACCGATATGACAACAATTTGGGATCGCCGAGAAAAATTGAAGAAGTCGGGAACATTTATGTTTCAGGCGCTGCGATGAGCCAACTTCGCGCTTCACCCCAGAAGTAATGAAATGATGAAACGTCAGAACGGACCAGCGGTGAGAACACCGATCACAGATTGAAACTAAAGCAGAAACAACACCGATCACAGAATTAAAAGTTAAACAATGTTGCACACACTTTTCATCGAAATTGACACTACTCGTGACTCTGGGAGATGCACTCCGCATGAACCTGTCCCGCTCATTCACAACAGTCACTGTGACTGTTGACAAAGTCTCTGATTTCATCAGCGCCAGGCTGGCGCAGCCCGCACGCCACCCACCGCTCTGCTCCGCCTGCTCAAATCTCACAGCGCATCGGCGCGGCGCCACATGCCCTTCCATGACGTCAGCAAACCGCTGATGTCATGGCGTCGGTGTGACGTCACAAGCCCTTCCGTGCCGTCAGCACACCGCTGACGTCTTGCAGCGAGCGATCGCCGCGTGGGACGTTCCAGGAACGGTGACTAAGCACGGGGCGCGCCACGTGACCTACTATTTCGCAACCGGCGGTCTGCGACCGAAGCCGCGTGACGCCTCGGCATGGACGGAGAGCGGCGAGAGGAGAGTGAGGCGCGGGAGACGCAGCCGGAGACTGCTCGAACATATGGGCTCCACATACATAACACTTTTTATTTAAAGCCACTGCAGCAGACAGCTCCCAGGCCACAAAACTAAAAACAGACGGCCGCGGTCGCGATTACGGTAAGCGTTCCCAGGGGACACAAACATAAACCTGGACAGCGGAGACGAAAAGCCGGCGCGCCAGGATGGCGCGCGGTCGTCGCGCGTCGATCGCGACCCCGCCACCCGATGCGGGCGGCCGAGCCGGCCCGTTCCGACTCGCCAGCTGACGAGTTCCGGCGTCCGGGGCAGGTGGGTGCCAGACGGGCCCCGCCAAAGACCGGCGATTGCATCACGGCCGGCCGGCGCGCCCGCCGTTTCCCCACACCAGGAGCGCGCCGTGCGCGACGGCGGCGCTCCAGATCGGCGCTCCCTCAGCCAGCTGATAGCGGCGACGGCCGCGGCCGGGAGAAAACGAAAGTGGGGCCCGACGAACGCGCCCGGCGACAGCACACAGAAGAATGTCCCGGCTGGGGGAGGCGGGCGTCCGGTGACTGTCGCGGCCCGGTGCGCGCCGCGGGATTGTTCGGCCGCGGACCGGACTGACGGGGTCACAGCAGAACACGGATGGACAGCAGGCGCCCGCCCCCCCCCCCCCGCGGACAGCTAAACGGCTTCAAACTGACCCAGATTCGGCCGCCCGACCGGACACACTCGTCAGGACGGAGGCCGGCTGCGGTCGCGGCTACCGGTGCAAGGACAGACACGGCGGCGGCGGCGGCGGCGGCGGCGACGACCGTGAGCTGAACCCACGGCCCCGCTGAAGGACGGCGCACACACGGGACCGCGCCAGACCGACGGCGGGTGGAAGAGCACGCCCCACGCCGGCTGCCGGGGGGCGGGGCGGATTAGGTTCCAGCCGGCTGCAGGGGAGGGGACGGGGGGGGGAGGGGGACAGGCTCCTGGCCGGATGACGCGGACGGCGCGCTATCAAGCCGGAGCCAATGACGTGGACGACTGTGAGCAGAAGCGCCTGGCGAATAACGTCCAAGCCCACCACTGAACAGAACAGTCGGCGGCGATTTCATATTAGACTGACATGGTCCCTTCCACTGTCACGGGCCACTGCGCATGGACATGCACGCAATCACAGTCGCACACTCGTATGCAATCGCTGGCCAACTCTAACAGTTCAGGTATAAACGTGGCGCAGGAGCACCGGCTTACCAATTCAGCGGGCGAATGCACGATGCGTCCTGGGAATGAAATTGACTACAGACAACACATCAGAAGGCACAAGTTTATTTTCTTAAACAAATGCACCCTGTAACCGTGCCTCGACATCCGCATCATCCGTATACACATCATATGAGATGTTTGTCTCAACAGAGACGCGGCAATAACAACGCTCGGATGCTCACCGAGCTGTAAGTAAAAAGCGGCGCGCGAACTCTGAAGAGTCCGTGTAAAACTAGAACACATCATTGCAAACATTCTCCGCACACCAGTGCAAAGCCACCGTGTTAGTCCAACCAAACCAACAAACTGGATGCTGCGGTAGATTTCACAAGGCGTACAGGGCGATAACGCTTACTTCTGCATTTACAAGGTGGTTAGCGCCATCAACCATTTTTTCCGGCAACGTTAAGTAGAGCACACAACCAGTCGATTAACCTAGCGCAGCTCCTTTCACCGGCGCCAGGGGGCGCTGCGTACAGCAGACCCGCTCGCTGAAGCGGAGGACATGAAAACTCGCGCTCTTTCGCCACGGCGACACGGGAGGCAAGCCGTCAAAATCCCCGCCCAATTGCAGACTGGTGCCTCTCTCACACGGCCACGTTGGAGTAGCCTGTGTACTTGTAGGTGTGCGCCAGGCAGCAGCCCAGAAGGATGCTGAGAATCTGGAGCACACGAGACGTGGTCAGAACGCCGCGCCAACGCGGGGAGCGCAGCACGACTGACAGCCCTACCAGTAGTTAAGAGTCCATAACCCGCTGTCGGAGATCATCCGTCAATCAGCGTCCATCAGCGGTTGCTAATAATACTGGACACACGCAACTTACTTGAAATACAGAAAATGTCACGAAATAGTCATTATTCTACTGACGTGTCAGTGTGTCAGTTTCTTATTCGTCGTGTTCGGAAGGCGGATAAGTTTATCATAAAACACGTAACGGCTGACGAAGTCTGATAACCCAGACACAACATACAATATAAAATCAAATCATAAAATCATTATGCACGGGCATGGGTGTGGTGCAGTGCGTATAAGCGATGACCTGAAGTACACACTGCTATATATGCAAGGCTTCATATGGAGATGCACTCACGAGGAGATGCCCTCCCCCAACCCAACAAAAACAAACTCCTCCCAACCCTACAAACATTTTTCTATGCTCACCTTCAGCTCAAGTCCCAAATCTGGGCTCAAATCTCCCCCCTCCTACTACCAGCAGGAACGCAAAAACTGCCCTCATCCCGATGGCCTGGGTCGGTGCGCGCTCATACTCAACCACCGACTCCTTGTGGACTTCCCAAGGCCTCCCAGTACATTATTAGCCACAAACTATGCGCCAAATAGCCCTAACCCGCCGCCGATTCAACAGGCCCTGACCACAGACCGAAACAGCTGTCGCCGCCCTGAACAGGCCAGCCGCGGCCGACGGCCGCCGTCCCAGAGCAGCAACAGCAGGGGTTTCCCCCCGGGAAGGCCGTGCAGGCCACACGACCCCGGTCAGCCCACCGCCCAGCGGCGCCACGTCGGACACTCGCCAGCCCGGCCCGGGCCACCGTTGGCATTTGATGCCGTAAAAGGCGATCGTGTGCAGCAGCTGAGTGCTGACACGCCCGGATACGCGCGCGGTGACCGGTCCGACGACGAATGACGACCAAATAGCGCCGGCTGGGGGCGTCGGCGCCTGCACTGCTGTCAGCACTGCCTCGAGGGACGTGGGGAATACTTCCGACACTCTCAGACACAACACAAATTGAAGAGCTTGAAGGGACCACCCTTAACGGGGTCGCAGCGCTTTCGGGTGCGAAGAACATATGATGATGGGACGAAATATTGCTCCAAATATGGCATATTCCACAATCGACTAATAAAAGCAATCCATTAACTGGACTGAAATTGGGACCAGCACTGAAAGCATAATGATTTGCGAGAGCCGCGTTCCAGATCAATGTCAGTGTCATTCACCTCACAAGCACGATTTTCTGCGTTCTTCTCTGAATGACAGCTGTCCAATGACGTTTTGCCGGCCAGTAAGCAATCAATGTATCGGAGGCCGTTGGACAATTTTAAATGGATCATTCAATATAATTCAGCCTGGCAATTACACGAGTTAGCTCTGGTATCACTTCAGGTGGGGGTGATCGCATGCAAATTTCGCACTCTGGTAACAGATCATGGCAGTCGAGCTTGGGGCAATGTTTCACATACGCATGCCAGTGTCTCCCGTCGCTTTCCAATCTGCCACCCATTTATCTCTCACGACCGTACCAAACATGCCCCGCTCATACGTGTCCTGCACACACGAGCGCCATCGCTTCCTACCCGCCGCCTTTCCCCAGCCGGACGCTCCCACCAGGTCCCAATCTTGTCCCCCCCCCCTCCAGCTATCTCGGGTGCATCTCCATACCCACCTAACCCCAGCCCGCTCACCACTTACCTCAACGGCGACGAACACGGCGCCGACGATAGCGTACGTGTGCCAGCTGCGGCCCGCCTCGGCGATCAGGCTGCCGAGGCAGCCGCGCGCGAAGATGACGCCATCCGCCTGCTCGTAGCTCATGTCCAGCACGCCGGCGCCGCAGTCGTCGCGCGACGGCACCCGGCAGCAGGAGGTGGGCACGGCGCGGCCGGCGCCGAACTCGGTCGTCGCCCAGTCGGTGTAGTTGGCGGCGCCACAGCAGTCGAACTGTCAGACGTCCGTCGGTCGCGAGTCAGGGCGCCCGCTCGCCGGCACCGCGCAAGCCACCGGCCAACTCAGGCGCGCCGCACGCAAACGCAACAGAGGAGGGCGCGGCCGGCAGGGGCCGGGGGCATGCTGGGTGCAGGGGCGGGGGGGGGGGGGGACTGGGGAGGGTATGGTGGTCCGTGTTCAGCTACCAGTGTCAGGACCCCCTCGTAAGCCCGCGTTGTAGTATGACGACAAACCATGTCTTGCTTAAACCCGAATCGCAACATTCTATTCGAAATAAACAATTTGCATTTGCAAAGGGTCGATCCGGACCCGAGCGTGGATAAAAACATACCACGCCAGGCATAATGAACGACCAGCTGTCGCCGAGGGTCGGTCGTACGCGCAGACATCGAACCAACCGCCCTTAAAATGTCGGCTCGAATGGCCCATGCTGAACAGCAACCAAGCTCAGTTGGCCTTTGGTCCCATTTCCGCATGACACATGACGCTGGACATGGCAGACTTTGGACTTGGCCAAGCAGCGCCACCTCCCAGGCCACAGTTAGAAGCGTGGACTAATCGGGATTTCTGAGCCCACCGCCCCTTCCAGAACAGGCAATCTCTCGAGGCCTGTGGGCTGAGTTTGTGAGGCCCACGGACGGGATCTCGCTAGGATACAGAGGGGGCAGAGATCCGCTGACCGGGTTCAACTGCGGACCCGCCCGGGGGACAGAGTTTCGCAACCTAGATCGTACTAAAATGACTGGCAGGGACGGAATGGGGCTGTTGGGCTCATGCGCAGGCGCTTGGGGCACAATGAAACCAACAAAACAAACACAACAAAATCAAATACGAACAAAAGCACTATCAAAATACGGAGTCAGACCGCCAGAAAAAGCGCTCTACGTGGCAAAACCGTTATACCGAAAACATCCAAGCCAAAGCGATTAGCCATGCTACACACCACAGCACCAACAAAGGCATGAAGGACCACCAAAGCAAACGTAGCCCGTCCACAGGCGTTGTCTAGGGTCGAGGTCACGTCTGGTTCCAGTCAAGTCGGCGAGTCGTCTCGACCGGGCAGGAACGACCACGGGCTGCAAACGCATGAGCCGCCCGGTGCTGCTCCGCGTCTGCTTAGAGGTTTCTCGGAACGTGCCGCAGCCCACCGAATAGTCAGGTCCCGGACGGCCTCGAAGCAAACTGCCCGCCGTCCCAACCCGCTCCCCATTTGCGACGCGCTGCGCTCGATATCGAGGACGTACGCAATCAAGTAATGTCGACCTTCACTAACGAGGGTATTGATCTGGGGGCAGTGGTGCGAATTCCTCGTAAGAGCCTTGCGATTACGATACACGACTCAGTCAGCCTGCGACTGATTCAGTCGGCTCCCCCGCCGGCCTCGGGTTGACGGCCGGCCGCCGACCAGCCGCCAAACAAGTGGAGACCGCTAGGCCGCCAGCGTGACCTTCAGGCACGGCTCAAGGTCAGTCCAGTGCACCGGCCAGCCGCGGCGGGGTGAGAGCCATGAGCGGGGCTGTCTGTGCCGGGTGGGTACAGCGGGTCCAGACATGTAAACACTCAATACAGGCACGCTCATGCTCGCTGCCGTACAGTGATCAGCCAGCAGCCAAAGGATGTGACTGCCACCGAGGTGACTGCCTTTCCGCTTTTCGAATGGGCTGTAAATACATTAAGATTTCATTGTCATTGTCATTGACATCGTATCAATGGCGATGCATGGAAAGGAATAAGCTTTGAAATATGCTTTGTGCCTTCAGTGTCTCCCCCCCCCCCCCTCCCGCTACCAGAGGTTTCTACGCCTATAAGCTGAAGGAATGGTGCAAGTCCATGAGAAAAACTTGTTTGCAGGCTAACATGTGAGAGACGTCAGGCAATGGAGCTTTCATCCCTCCCCGAGCAGAAAGCCGGCGACCCCACCTCGGCGTCCGCCGGCCACGGCCGTGTGTAGCCCGTCGCATGCTACACGGACGGGCGTTTTGTTCCGCGTCAGGCGGGAAAACCCGCCATCGCCGCAGTCAGTGCGAACATGAGACTCGCACATGCAACAAAGCTTATCGGACGACACGTCAGGCGCGTCGATGAATCGCTAGTTGGAACGGAAGCGGCGCACGGTCCGCGCACGCGACTAACGAGCGCAAACACACCATGCAAAGCAGGCCAGGAACAGACTTCAGCAAGCGACTGTGCGCATCTGTGTACTGAGAAAAGGAGCGCCGCTTAGCCGGAGCAGGAATATTGAATTAAAAGATCTCCTGACCGGAGAAAAAAATACTGCCATCCGGCAGCATTCCTTCCTCGCCACTATTTCTGGACGGTTCTTTCAGCGGCTGGTGAACTCACGACTTTACATTCATAAACTGGATTTCCTCGAACTTAGCACGTCGTACGCTTCCCCACCACCTTGCGACACATCAGCCGGGACCTGCCGGCCCGTCCCTCCGTCGAGTCAGAGTCTGAGTCATGCGGCGTCAGTCACGTGGAGAGGCCGCTGCGCCGGGTGCTCCGCGATGACGCCGCGGAAAACGTCGGGCCGCCACAGCGCCGCTGCCGCCGGCGTAACCCCGACAGTGCACCGCCGCGAGACGGCCGCGGACGTGGCGAAAACAAAAAACGCGCGCGAAGGACGCGCGAGCGCAGGCGAGAGGTCACCGACGCGGGCCACCGGTCAAGCGCAGGCTCGCCAAGGCGGTGCTTTGCCTGAACTGTACACTCACATCTCACAAGGCATTTGTGCGTCTCTGCAAGCGGTGAATGTGACCAATAGGTAGATGCAGGATGCATTACAGACGCAGGACGAGCGAACTTCAAGGGCGGCAGGACGTACACCGTAATTAACCCCGCCGCAGAGCGTCAACCAAACGCATATTGGTTATGCCGCGAAAACGTTTGGATAAACGGGGTAGAAACGATGTTTGTTCCGCCATCTGCTGTTCCGAATAATTTTGCATTGACCACTTGCATCAACTACATAATCCGTCAAAAATACGCAAACTGAACGCGAGCTCTTGGCTCACACGCCACCTAAATGACTGGCCAAGAACATGAGATCCATGCCTCATGTATCGGCGACCCGTCCCTTTCCTGCCGTCGCACGAGAGCGGCGGCAGCGTGGGCATCTCAGCCTGGTCCAGCCCCTGCCTCACAGCCGCGGGCGGCCACCAGCCAGCCCCGCCGTCCAGCTGGCCCAGCTCCGACGGAAAAGAGCGGCTGGCGAGACCTACTTAAAGCAGATACCCATATTGAAGACGTTTCCGCACGAGTACTTCAGCATCTGCATGCGTTGTTATATCTAGCACCTTCATTAGCTGAGTGTGCTAGAACCACATGGCCAGGCAAATGGTCAGCTTTGCACCACATATGGTAACCGATCAAAACTATGGGACCGGTGCAACAGGGATCACTACAACGCCATAAGTGTTCACTCGCCTCTGGCAACTTCACCACAGACTAGGCCAAAGGGCGGATTTTCCGGAGTTGTCTCAACCGTACACACCCCGCAAAAGCCCGCACGAGCCTACCTGCGCGCGTGCCGTTTACAGCAACTGCTGCGCGGCCCTCCCAGTCGGTCCCAACACAAGACTCGCACATTCGAACAATGCAAGCCTTTGAAGGACAACTTTACCACAGGAGCGTGCCGAGCCGCGACAGGGAGTACAAGAGCGGCTTGTTTGCCTGCAGGGAGCCGGTGGCCGGCTGTGGCGGGCGGCGGGGGGGGGGGGGGGGGGCGACCGCTGCGGGCGCCCGGAGCCCAACGAGCCTCGGAGGGCGTGACAAGTGGCTGCAGCAGGTGTGCCGCGATCGATCGGACCCGCGCTCCGACACACCGGCTGGGCCGGCGCCGAGCCCGCGCTCGGCCAACAAGCCGGTCCGGCCCACCCCGAAGCAAAGCCACCAGCGCGGCGGTGTCAGGCGCATCGAGCATGCGAGATCGGCAATAGGCCGCGGTCCTCCTCCCAGCACAGACACATAGTTACCTCGCCCCTCGCCCGCCCCCCGATCCCCAGAGGAAAGCACAACACGAAGGACAGGTTAGGGCATCCAGATGTAGCCACAAGGCCCCTCCAACGTCGACCACTCACCTCCATCTGCATGCCGTCCCAGGTCTTGGTGACGCCGCTGTGATCAGGCTTGCCATAGTTCTGCATGGTGGCGTTCATGTTCTTGTTGAGCGTGTCGGCGATCTCGTCGCGAAGCAGGTAGGCGGCGATGCCGGCCGCCAGCTCCAGGATGAAGATAAGCGCCAGCAGGACGGCGAACGTCATCGTCATGCAGTAGCTCTCTCGGATGGCCCCGCAGCAGCCCATGAAGGCCACGAAGAAGATGATGACACCGACGACGATCAGCAGGACGGGCACGCTGAAGACGTCGTCGCTCAGGAAGTCAAGGTACTTGTCGTAGTAGCCCTTGATGACGGCCCCCATGGCGACGAGAGCGATGCCAGATATCTGAGGAGAGTTGGACTTCGTGAATCTCTGTGTAGGAGCTTGGCCCCGTGTTGGAAAAATTGACGTTTCCTGGCATAATATACACCAGGGGATTTTGCACTCCAGGATTGTAGCTGGGTAGAATGAAATATTTTGTACTCCATCATGATGCAACAAAAACAGTTTTTGGAAAAACTCACTCTACCCCTCCGTTTCAGGACAAAACGAAACCAGAAGACGCAACAGCTTGAGACATGCTGCTTCCAAAATGAGCCATGTATTGATATCAGCAAGAGCACAAATCTTGCACCCACCAGACTAAGATGCCCAGTAGCAAGCAGCCTGTGTCGCCACCTAGGTATACGATAAATCATGTATAGAAATGTGAAACTATTACGAGAACCGCACCCGTCTGTAGAGCAGCAAAGCTCTTCACTTCCTACGCCCTATGCAGACCAACTCAAACTTGAATATGACTTAACCTACCATTGACGACGAACCGCATTAATTGCCAAGGATGCAACGAACGGTCATAGAAAACCGCATACCCAAGCACCTACCACAGACGGCCACCTACTCACACGCCACCACTGTGTCCTGGTAATGCACATAACAGAACCAATCGCAATTCAGTGTCAGGAACGTCTCGCCTCCCAACTCAGGTTGGACGTTAAACATAGCAAAACTCTCCAATTGGTTTTAATGAGTCGCCCTCTCGTGCTGATTTGTCTGTCAAGAGCATAAATATTCCGTTCGCGATCATGTCTTGAACAGATCTGTAAACATTTGGAGAGAAGCTGTATACAGGTGGGCACCACGATTATGAAGAATTACTTATTTGTTCTCATCCAGAACCGCCCTGTGGCTGAATTTTTGGCCATTTCCTGGCATCCGGAGTACAAAAATGTTAAGGCAGCTGGGCATTTCAACGAAGTTAAAGTTGTCATTTAAGGAGGTGGAATTAAAGTTGGTAATTCAGGCTTTACAAAAATATCCCTTCAAGTCGAAAAAAACGTCGCTATAAATAGCCAAAAAACTGTTCGGGAAACCGCCATCTCACTCCCGCAAAAACACCCGGCCACTAGAGTAACATGAACCCAAAACTTTGACCTGGCTAATTAAGGAAAAGGGTTTATTAGAACAAAAATATCAATGAATTGCGATATAACCTATCATCTTTCGCAATGATATCGGTTTAAGCGCATCAAAATCCATTAATATATTGTACTATCCGCCGGAGTCTGCGGAGTGACAGACTCCGATCCCTTTGGTCGGCCTGGACGGGTCTGTCAGACATTGTAGTTGCACTGGCTCGGGTAAATCAGCTGAGAGCGCTGCCTGTCTCTATTATTCGGCTGGGACGTGCACGGCCTCGTGTTATGTCGAGGAGTCTGAAGGTGGAGGGCACGAATGCCTATCCATTTTTAAAACCAGTTAGCTGGTGGAGCATGAGTAGCGTGATCGTGGCGCAGAATGTAGGTGGCCGTCTGTGGCACCTTCACTTACTTTTTTTGTGTACGATTTTTCTCTGGTCGGCTCGAAACTTATTTTGTGAAACTGCGCATGCTCACTACGCGACTTTAGAAGAATAGCATAAGATAATTATTTACAGCAATACTTTGGGAGAAAAGGCTTGCCTAGATCCTTGGTCTGACAAGTTTTTCATGAATCGCAAACTCATATATACATATTATAATATATATATATATATATATATATATATATATATATATATATATATATGCACGTGTGTTTCATACTACAGAGTCAGATTGCGTTGTTTCAATGTGCCATGTTTAATACTGACGTTTCTTTCATTCAAGTGCTTTTACATGAATCGCTATATATGACAAGTGGCGCCTTTGTTGAGTGCCACCCACTGTACTGTTACCTCTCAAAGATAACCAAAACGAAATTGTGATAACCTGCAGCACTTGGATAATTTTGTGCTCTCTATAGAAAATTTATACTCTGCTACCCGGAAAATTTTCGGCATTTCCAATACTGGCTTGGCCCCCACACGGACAGGCAATGTGATGTTTAGGTGTCCGTGTGGCAACTGCCTGTGTACACTTACATCAAAACATTAACTTGGAATGAATGGAAAACTAATCCCGCCGCATTTGAATCATGAAAATATTAAACTGGGCCTGCAGTCCGAGCCTTTTTTCCTCTCACTGTTTTGCCCATCCCTGGCAGCATTACCACTAACGGCTCTGAACACCATACGATGGGATTCCCTGAATGTTCCTTTCCATACTTTAGTGTCATAGCACGCGCTGACCGAGATTGTCATTTTGTTTCCAGACTCCAGTTTACGTGGGCAGCTGGAGTTGCTACCCTGGAGGAACTCTCTGAAACCTGACCTGCACCATCTTACAGGCATGCATGATGACGAAAGGTGTATGTCCTGTTTTATCCCCCAAACCTCCCCCAACTACAGTTTTGCATGTGGCCCCCGGCTAGGCGGGCATTTGAAAAGCTTCGTATCAGCTAGTCCTTTTTGTTTACACTGATCAGCATGTTTACAGACTGCACATGTCTGGCTGTGGTTCATAAAGGTCAAAAGGGCAATCCAAGTTCACAAAGGCTTGGTTACATTTAATCCACACAGTTCTGTCAGTCTTGTCAGCATCTCATTCCCTGGCTTAGAGTGATTTCATTAAAACCATTTGGGCAAAATGAAGCTGTTCCAGCCACAACAAAAGCATGGGATCTGACAAAAACCCAGGTAGCCTCAGACTACATCATTTAGAATACAAAGCATTATGACAGAAGCGCTCGTGACAAAAAAGATATTTGCAACATTGCCGCATCATTCCATGAAAGCTTCATGACAAATTGTGAAATCAGCTCCACTTCTTGCCATCTTTGTATTGGGGCCTGATGACATCATGAATGCCTGAAAATGGATTCTGCATCTTCCACACAATGATAGGCTTGACCAAAACAAGAAAGTAATTACTTATAAAATAATTATATGTAACAAATTCACATTGATCATACAACAAATGCTGAGAAACTGTTAATAGCCAACAATACATACTGCTAATAGCAATATATTGATGGCTGCAGTTGATTATATTTGATAACAATTATAGCATTACCTGTTACTTTCAGGTGCACCTTGATGTCTGTAGTTTGAAACATTTGTGTGTAGAATATGAAGAAGATAGATTTCCAAAGCAGGCAGAAAACACAAAGATAGAAAACACAACTGGCACCCGAAAATTCTGAGTACCGTATTCTGTCAGCTTCCCCAATTGACCACGCTGGAATCTGCCTACGCCATCCTTTCGTATTACGAAACGGTTCACGGAGGGCGCCTGCAGTCCAGATACGAGACGGCTCGCGATAAACACTTCGACCAGGTGCAGACGCCGTATCACTTTTACGGGTACTCACCACAAAGATGAAGTTGAAAAAGAATATCAAATATTTGACACATTTCATGCCGCCTTCCACCATCTTGTCAGATTTTAATGGCACGCTGTTGTCAGTCCTCAGCCCGCGGTCCACACCCAACCTGTGACGAATGCAACTGGTAGCTGCGTCACAGTCGCGCTTCCATACGTCACTTTCCAGCCCCTCCCCTATAGAGATGGTGTGCGTTGCATGGACAATAAGCTCATAAAAATTCAGACTAAACATTTGTGGTAATTTGTATCATTTTGGGATTCAAAAACCTGTTATCCTAGAACCATTTGAGTTTGATGTTTCATTAATGAAAAAACATGACAGAAGGCCCAAAGCTTTGAAAGATTGTACGTCCCCTAAGAATATTTGCGTGTGTGTGTGTGTGTGTGTGTGTGTGCACAGAAACCTAGTAAATCAATATAAGAAGTGGAACTAAGAATAATTTAAATATGATAAATTTGGTTGTTATCTTTAAACAACTTATTTTCTAATAACTTTCGGAAAAACTTGCGCTTTTAAATCACAACGTTTTTAACCAACATATCTTATCGAGGCTGTACACAGCAGCCAATGAAACGACCGGGAACTTTGGATGCCGTTGCATGTCAGCTGTTCTCCCCCCCGTGCCATTTTAAATTTGTGTACGTAGAGGTGTGGTGAGCAGCTTCAGATTTGGCTGGTTTTATCATCTTCAGCTGAGATAATTTTAGACGCTTTCACAGCTCTTTCATTTTACTGTGTTTTGTATTGAAATCGGAGTTTCCGCAACATTGTTCGGGGAGAACTGCCATCACAGGAGTGAATCGGCGTGAGCTTTCAGATTTGCAGTCAAATAGGTAGATCGTTTTTGAAATTGCGTGTTCATACTAGCATGACAGCTCTGCTTCTACTGCAGCTCTGCTCTAACTATGGCTCTGCTTCTACCTCAGCTCTGCTTTTACTGCATTGTTTTATGCAGATTAGATTGTTTGAAGTCAACATGTGTTTGGCTGTCTGTGTCTGGTTTGGTTAGGTAGATAACTACTTCTTTCATGCATTGGTGTTGCTAATGTTCCTTAAACCATCTATTCATGTTTGCATCACATTTTCAAAACTGAAGTAAAATGGTAGATTTGATTCGTGCTGTAACATGTCAGTCACCCTGTCAGCAATGGGATTTGCTGGCTGTACAGCCTATTCCCTTCCAGCATGCAAGCCATAATGAATTTTATGTATCAGGTATAGACTTGCATAGTGAACTTGATAAACAGTTCTGGAACAATGTTAAAGGTCTTAGTTGTGGTGCTCATTACCATTTGTTCTACACAATGGTCTCATCCAAAATTATACAGGTATACTTGACTCATTGTGCTTGGCAAGGAGCAGTGTAATGACCCATCTTAATGTGAACATGTAAGCACACATTTTTAAGGGATGTAAGATTTGTATGCCTTTTGCTGACTGATAGCTTCCATACCTGGGAGTGCTTTAAGACATGACATAGCACAGTAATAGCCCAGCATGTATTTTATCTGTAGATGGAAGGCATGACATCCAGGAATGTGATGCAAAATGATTGCATACATATATAGGAAAATAGCCTGCCAAATTTTGTGGCTTGTATGCCCAGTGGCATATGCATAATTTTGTGATGGTGGAGGAAACAACTGAACTTCTCATTTGAGACCACGTAAAAACAACTTTGTTTTCACTCATTCTGCATCCTGACTTAATGTTACCACCATCAGCCACAATGGCATGCTAAGCCCATTCTGGTAGGGGGCTGGACTTTCATAGACAGAGGTTGTTTTAGATTCTCATTAAATACCTGTCTACAGCAGATAGAACAGGGCAAATGTCTCAGCCACCGCACAACTAAAGCCGCCGTGTGACATGCCATGACAGTCCCCAGATATACAGTCATGCATGTGACATGTTGCTGTCTGCAAAGTCCCCTGATAATGGTCATGCCCAAGTTTCCTCAGTTATTCAATTATTTTCCTTTATGCTTCCATGCATGGTGCCACAGTTTGTTCAACACCCTGACAGAAAGTCATCTACACATAAATGATCAAGGGGGTATTGTCACTACCAGGAATACTGCAAAGTGGCCAATGTGAGATGTCTGCCAGATGTTAACCACTGAGTCATAAATAATGTAGAGGTGGTAATGTAAGGGTGTTTTGACAACTAGCCCTGTCTTGCATTTAACCTTGCATGAGCTGGATGGAGAACATGAGAAGGATCAACATGAGGCGTCAGAATTGCCAACTGTGTAGAAAATGTGAAAGCATGAGGTATGCTCATGAAACGTGATTTTTTTGCAGACCTGGCCTGCCCGCCTCTTCGGTGTTTGACAATGTTGTGGCAAGGTCTCTTGGAGGGTGTCGTGGGTCCGTTCTGACCCAGCGTTCCGACACTGCTGGTCGCCCGCAGGTGCCTGGATACCGCTTCCGTCCTGAGTGTCCATGGAGGCGCCGCGTGCGGCTCAACAGCAGGAGAACCGGATGGCGACCAAGGCGAAGCTGGAGCCGAAGCCGGAGGGCTCGGCGGCGCGCGTGCCCCTCTCTCAGTCCAGTGCAAACGTGCCGGCTGGCGCTGGCGCTGGCGCCGCCCAGGAGAAGTCGCGGCCCGCCAAACAGCCTAGGTCCGTGAGTGGTGTCCCGGCCGGGCGGCCGGCCCGGCGGTGCCTGCGGGCAGGTGACGGCCGGCACCAAAACCGGTCCCAACAGCCGCTGTCTGGCCAGTGCGGTGTACTGAGCACCGTTCTGACACATGGTTTGTGCGTTTTGTGGCCTTTGTGCGCTACTGTTTTTTTCATAACTTAGTTTGTGTCGCTGCTGACGCTACAGTTGTTTGGGTGTCTGAGGGCGACTGGCGCTGCCGGCTGATGTGCGTGGACGAGCTATCGGTGGTGAGCGCGGCCGAGATGGCGTTCGACCGGCCGCTCTCGCGCCCCACATCTGTCGCCACGCTGACCGGCTCGGCCGCAGGAAATGGGGCCTAAGCGACTTCGACATCGGCCGCCCGCTCGGCAAGGGCAAGTTCGGCAACGTTTACCTGGCGCGTGAGAAGGCGTCGCACTTCATCGTCGCGCTCAAGGTGCTATTCAAGTCGCAGCTGCAGAAGAGTCACGTGGAGCATCAGCTGCGCCGCGAGATCGAGATCCAGTCGCACCTCAGGTGGGCGTCCGCCTGCTTCCGGCAATGCCGAGCGGTCGGCGGCGTGCCGCCAGTTTATGGGAAGGCGTGTGGGCGGGCTTTGGCGGCGAGGATGAGGGAAGCGTTTTCCCACGAGCTGTTAAAGGATCTGTTTTCTTGACCGACTGTCTTCATGTAGGGTGTGCTGCGCTATCGGGTCGGTTGTCAAGGTCACCCTGCGTTAAAGTCTTATGCTTAGATGCTCATACCTCGTCTATTCCCATCCCTCTGCGCAAGTCTATAAACACGTCTAAGGCTTCACCAGTCTTGTATTCATGGCTTTTCACCAAAGCCTTGCCTTCCAGGCATCCAAACATTCTGAAGATGTTCGGATACTTTTACGATGATACGCGTATCTACTTGATCCTGGAGTTCGCTCCAAAGGGAGAGCTGTACAAGGAGCTGCAATCCCAGAAGAACAAGCGTTTCGACGAGCCCAGGTGAGCATCGGTTCCACGAGGCAAAGCTCGATCTGGCCGTTTCTCTGCCATGCGTGTCTGGCTGCTCATGTCTCGTGCGGATGTTCTGTTCGCGGCGCTGCTTGTATTGGTCATTTGAGTGCGTGGGTGTTGGCGGTGGGAACGTAACTCGATTCTCTTGCGTCCCATATTTTTACACGTGCCACTACGGCGCTGTGTTCGAGATTTGAGGCGCGCTCTGTGAAAGACGAAAAGTTGCAGTTATCGCACACGTTCTTCCCACCATGCTCCCTTGCTTTTGTGAGTGTCCATAGTCACTTGGTGGTTAATTGGGCAGTCGTATTGTTATCTTGAGAGTTAGCCCGAAGTGGTGTTCGAAAATTTTTGGCCGTGGTGATGGTTTCGCAACCAAAACGTACCCTTTTGGATGTTACATTGCCATTATCAACGTCTCTGACATGGGGATAGTGCTGATATGTTGACAGTGTTGATTGGGGATAGTGATATGTATCTGAGTTTAAGGAATTGTATTGAAAGGTGTACAAAGTTCCGAGCCTGTGTAGAAAGCAAAGCAGACTTTATTTTAAAATCTTCCACCTGTGCGGCGTCATGACAGATTTCGCATTTCAAACACTGGCTGCCACAGCTATGCTGAAAGCCACCAATAAGAGTAACATCAGCTCTCAAGCTGTATCTGTAACGGGGCGTGTAACGAGGATTTGAATATACTAATTGGAAAGTGTTGGCCGTACCGTCTTCTGGACGGCGAAAATCCAGCCAGATGACTTCCACCAATGCTTGAAGTCTGCGGCCCTGTTGTACTCAAAGCCACTAACACTATCCAGATTCGCCACAGTGCCCAGCCATTGCAACGACGAAGAACGTATCTCTCATCAATCGTACCGAGACGCATTCAGCAAGCACGTGTCGCTGAAGCCATGTGGATGAGGAATGTTATCCTTGAGGGGTGTCATCACGAACCTCGTTAAGAGCCGAAACTCATGCGTCGCATCACAGGAATGGTCATCCATTATGACTCGATTGATGTATCCAATCAACTGGCTTTAACAAAGATACTCTTTTCGTCCTTGCTACGGCTGAATGTTTATGATGCTCTTGAGTTTTTTGTTGTTTTCGTTTTTTTGCTTTCCGCGTGTGCCTGTGCGTGTCCATGATGGTTACATCTGGACAACGAAGGCGTCGCACCATCGAGCTTTGAATGATTTCTGCAACCGAGCGGCATCGATGTCATAGTCACATTGTAAACATCTTGTGGAAGATACTCTTGAGATCACATTTATAATCATAAGCACCGTCGTATTTTGCTGAAGGCCCCGTGGGTATTGCGTCTGTACTAATGAAGCAATCTAGCTTCTTTAAAGCGTTCTCCAAGCACGACGCAACTCTCGCCGGCGGTGCCCTTGTGACGTTCCCGGCCTCCGGGCAGGTCCGCCATTTACATTTCCCAGATGGCCGACGCGCTCAAATACTGCCACTCGAAGAAGGTCATCCACCGTGACATCAAGCCCGAAAACCTGCTGCTCGGTTTCAAGGGCGACATCAAGATCGCCGACTTCGGCTGGTCCGTCCACGCGCCGTCGTCCAGGTGCGTGCGGGGGACACGCTTGTGGGCACCGCTGGGCCGGCGGGTCAGCCCCCGCCACCGGATGATGGTGCGCGATGGGGGGGGGGAAGGTGGGGGGGGGGGGGGGCTAGAACATTTCCTTACGTCCTCTTACATGTCCGTGTAACTCAGGTGACTGGGCGTCGGCTTCCGTCTGACCCACCGAACAGGTTTCTTTTTTGTGACACATGTATGCGTCAGTACAGTTGATGTGAACTATGCTCAGATTGCTATCTTTAGTTTCGCCGGACGTTTAATGTAGATTGGGTCATTAACTGTCCGGCGAGACTAAAGATAACATAGTTAAAGAATGGCCCAGATTGGATAATTTATCGCTCTATGCCCGCGTAATCTTGGCTCATGTTTTTGTACTTAACAAGGTTGTATTCAGCGTCTTGCAGGATTGTCAGTTATTGCATTGCATTGGTATTGCTGTTGGTCATGTCTATGTACTGCTGTAATATCGCACCTTCGCTCCTCTCCAGTATCCCAATGAAGGCCCGTCCCTCTACCTTGCGGAAGCATGGCATCGTTTACTGGAGCGTGTTGGTTGCGGGCACCCGAGCAGATGGGTTTGTCAACACAATGAAACTTTGCTGAATATTACATTTCTCGGTCGTTCTCGTCTTTTCCCGACGTTTATGTTGAAATACTGGAACGCCAGTGTGCGTCCCCGTACACTCATAACCGTGTACCTAAACCCCTGCTGATATCGTTACACTGCGGTCATATTCAATTAAACGGCCGTTTCAAATTGGTGGCATCATGGCGGCCTCCAGCGTGTTCGTTGTGCTGGACGGCGCGCCGACTGTGCCGCCGCCGGCCGCTCCCGGCCGCTCTGCGCGCTACGGAATGTCGCGTGTTCCCCCATCGGCGGTCTGAGCGTCTAGAGGCTGCAGCGCGTGCCGGAACCCGAGGCCGCCCCTCCCACGTGTGCCTCTCGTGTGCTCTGACGGGACGCTGGCACCGGCAGGCGCGGCACCATGTGCGGCACGCTGGACTACCTGCCGCCGGAGATGATCGAAGGTCGCGAGCACGACGAGAAGGTGGACATCTGGTCGCTGGGCATCCTGTGCTACGAGTTCCTGGTGGGGCGGCCGCCGTTCGAGGCCGAGACCAACCCGGAGACGTACCGGCGCATCACGCGCGTCGACCTGCGCTTCCCCAGCCACGTCAGCGAGCCGGCCCGCAACCTCGTCTGCGGGGTGAGCTCACGCGCCCGGCGGAGACGGCGGCGCGGCCGCGCGGGCTGGCGCTGGTGGGGGTGGAAGGAGAGCGGGGAGATGGGCTGCGCGGCGCGTTGTCTCGGTCGGTTGTTCCGCTCGTGCGGCGTATGGGCTGGGCTGATGCGGTTCGCTCAACATGGTGCAAGTCCTATGCCTTCCCCAAGGCTGATGTGACCTACAAGTGTGGCGTGAGTTAGACCGAGGTGACTGTGAGCCGTCGGGTTCCGCGAGTGTCGAGGCCGTGATTTCACATCCGATGGCGCCGGTGGGCCCGTGCGCTGCGCGGCAGCGCCATTGCCAGTCAAATGTCGGATGAAATGACGCCGTCCTGCCCGCAGCTGCTGCAGAAGGACCCGGCCAAGCGGCTGTCACTGGACGCCGTGGCCAACCACCCGTGGATCCTGGCGCACATCAAGGGCGCCGCCGCCAAGTCGTCGAGCTGAAGGTCGGGCGTGGCCCGCCGCTCTGCCCATCTCTTCGCCAGTGGCGTCATTGGGACGGCGTCCGTCCGATGGTGGTCGCCGGCATCCCGGCGACAGTGTTGTCCAGATCCGCTCAGTGATATGTGGCGGCGCTAGGTCGCGCATTGTGTACATAAGATGCCGTTTGTTGAGGAGCATCGCCGTCTCGGTGCGGGTGCCGCCAGCTGGCTCGCCGAGAGCGGTACCAGTCTTCCTGTCGCTGTCCTCTGTACAAACCCACTCCATCCTGTCTTTTCGCATGATTTTGTGCTGATATGTCGACCCAGGTTTTAGTGTCATGTAATACACGACGGGGCGGAATCCGGCCCTTCAGACATCGATTTCTCCCTAGCTATGCGCTTGAACAAGATGTGGGAAGGGTGTAAGCACTTTGCATTTGAATCTTTATCCGTAAGAATGCTGATAAAGTTCGTATGTTGTGTTGCTAATAAATCATGAATCCGATATCGCAGTTGCACTGCTGTAATCAGGTTCTGCGGGGTCTGACACGTCAGTGTACTGATAAATCCCAGACGTTAGAAAAGTTTTCCGCATTTCGTGGTGCGTGTGATGACGGCGGGGCAGACTAAAAAATATGGGAGGGGCGCTCGGAAAGAGAATTATGTATAGCACTGGCCGAAACAAGACCCCATGGATCCATATTAAGTATCATGTTCTTCATAAAGCTATCGTGTGACGCCTCGAAGCAGTTCACTCCTGTCCACATTACCGACAGCGTGGAGGGGCAGCAGGCTTGATTCAATCTTGTTTATGCTCGCAAAAACATAGGTCACATTGAAGTCAAAACTTCAGTACCCAAGGCAGACCACCACACATGACCGATTAAGGATGGTTGCAAACACTGCTTGCTGACTGATCGTAAAGCCGAATTACAGCCAAGCCGATTTCCGAGGGCATTGAAGGACGTGGGACTGCATCTGTTCCGCGCTCGCATGGCATTAACGTCAACAGCAGGCGGTCCACAGTACCACATGTGAGAGCACAGACGACAGGTGGCGGTCGGCGTGGTGCAGCGGTGCAACCGGGGGCGTTGTGCAAAATACCTCGCGCATAACGCTCAGCAATGAGACGAATCTTAGCCTACCACCAGAATACTCAAGAAAACGATTTTTCTCTAATTTTACACATTTTCTTTTCAAAGTTGGGGAGAGGTCTCGAGCCCCCACACTGCGTGGGAAACAACACCGCTGCGCATGGCCATCAGTGATTGAGCGCCCACACTTCACCTTCTGTATAGACCGTCTGAATTTGGACATACTCGCAAGCAGTCTGGCTACTCTCGGCTAGTTCTGTCGTTCAAAGTACATGAACTCGATCAGGAAGAGAGCACCTAGCAGAGTTGCCTTCATGTTGGTCTCCAGGTCCATGGGGAAGCTGACGCCCATGTTATCCGCGTCGGTGAACATCTCCTTAACGCAGCCGCTCCACTGCTTAGTGATGTTGCCGACCTCCCGAGAGCGGTCGGCGGAGAGCACGGGGAAGCTAACATCGCTGCAGAGCGCGCACTGACAGATGGGGCCGCCGATGCGCAGCACTGGAGTGCCGTCGGGCCGCATCACCGTCAGCTTGGGCCTGAGGAACGCCCACTCCTCCTTGACGAGACCGATCACCTGGCCACCAGCCGTCACCTCCAGCTCCTGCAGACAGCAGGGGCAGCAGCAGCCCTGGCAGCGCAGCGGCCGGCTTAGATGCAGCACCTCATGCTGTTGCGAGTCCAGCACACGGATGTCGAACGGTCGTATCGGCCCGAAGCACCAGCGCGTGCAGCAGTCCGTGTCTTCCACCACGTAGAACAGCCGCTGGCCCATGCTGTTCGTCACGACGTACTTGTTTTTTGTCTCGAAGCCGGTGAAGACCTCTAGCAGCTCGACCTTCTGCTGGACGAGTAGCTGGTCGACATGCGCCAGGTACTGGAGGCCAGGCGCAGTGCCGCCGCCGGCCACGCCGCCCATCGCGCCGGGCTGGCTGCTGATGACGCCCATGCCGAACTGCTGGCCGTGCCCCTCGTCCAGCACCGCCGGCTGGAAGCCGTACTGCGGCGGCTCGCTTCGTCCCGCCGCCATCGCCGTTCAGCGCTCGAGAGCGGGTCGGACCGTGCCAGGAGGCAGCTGCTTTCCTCGCTTCCGCGGCTCGTGCTGTGCATGAGGCAAGACGCAGTGCGAGCCACGGCGCAGCTCGTATCTCTCTGGGCGGACAGGGGCGCCACCAGGCTACCCTCCGCAGGGCGGCCGCGCGGCGCGGCGGGCCCGCGGCGCCCCCCCCCCCCCCCCCCCCCCACCACCCGCAGCCGCCAGCGCAGCGGCGGCGACAGCGTCAGTCCAACTGTCTGGCGCTACTGTCGCCGTCGGCGGTCCTCAGACGGCAGCGGCAGCCGACGATCCACGCCGGACGCGCCCCTGGCCAGTGACGTCATGCACGCATCGACACCGATTTGTGCTATGACCTCGGCGCTGGGCGATAGCAGCGCAATCTCGCTGTTGCGGGCGGGGAGGTCGTGCAGTGGGAGTATCAGCCGATACTCGAGGGTCCGTTCGGCAGCTGATTGTAGGCGCAGTGACGGTGCCATGCTTTGCCACAGCACCGCCCGATGGCGGGCTGGGAAATATATCCAGAATGATTTCACCCTGTGCTTAAAAGGCTGGGTAGTTAAATACTTAGTTAGCGGTAGGCATTCCTAACACTGAAACGACAAAAATTACCCGAGCAGAACGGAATGCCATAGTGCGGGCGTCATACTGCAAACGCGATGATCTCCGCTCAAAAACGTGCCCGAACAAGATATGGAGACGTCATACCGCACTGCACGGTACCACTGCTGTCGCGCTTCCTCGGCCGTCGGCGGTCTAACACACGCTACGAAGCTCCCCATTTCCATATGACTGGCATTCAGTTCCCGCGTGTCGTATGATGTACCGCGACGCGCCCGGACCAGGGACAACTCCCCATCGCTGTAGCCGAGCGGACGTACCCATTTGCTCTGCCGTACGGCTCCAACTCCATTGCATGGGCCCGGCCAACCGACCGGCGACACACGCAGATCCGTAGACGCTACACGATCTATTAAAACGGTCGTTCACAATCGCTGCACGGCCGCCCACTGAGTCACAATCACGCACGCTCACAATGTCCCGCCGGCCAAACCCGACCACTGCTCGCCGACCCCGGGCGCGCGTCAGCTCGCTGCGGGGAATATCTCGGTCAGGGGTCTTCTCACAAACCTCGGCTAGTCCGTATAGCTAGCGGCCCAGTCACTAGACCCCGACGACTTAGATAGCACTCAATAGCGCCGCTCGAAGCGCGTCCCGTCGAACAAGAAGTCGCGGCATTCAGCTCCCCGGTCAGGAATGACCTGAACGCGCTCATACGGGCCTAAAACACGCCTGCCGTTGCGCCTGTGCAGATACTGTGATGCACAGCAGCCGGTGCAGAGGGGAACACTCGAATCAAATCAGGACCCCACAGTCGAGTCAAGACTCGGCGCACAGCGGAGTCTGCCGCTGGGGCGCGCCCCGTCCCAGCGGCACGGGCTGGAGGCAGGTCCGAAGACGCAGCGCACCGGCCGGCCACGCCACCCGCGGTATCACAGCCGACGCTCCAGACGGCGACGGACGCCATGCCGGTCCGGGAAGGCCGCCGTCGGAGGAGGCCGGCTCCGCCCCGGGCCGACGCCGCGCGCGCCAGCCTCGGCACACCGACCCGGCGCTGGTCCCACCCCGGTGCGGCTCAGCCCGCAGCAATTCTCCAGTCAGCTGGCCGACCGCGCCGTCCGCCGGCCCCGCGCGATACTGCGCGGCGCTCGCGCGGCAGCCGCGGCGGACCCATGGCACATCGGTCGGCGGCGACCCCTGGCACACCGGTCGGTGGCGACACGGCGCCAAGGTATCTGCGCCCTCCCAGCGCGGTAGCCAACACTGTCGCAGCGTCGTCGCTGAGACCGCGCAGGCCGCAGCCAGCGGCCGCGCGTGGCCTCACAGGACGGCCCGGCGCGCCGCAGGCTTCGGCATCGCAGCTAGTGGTCGTGCAGCACCTTGTTGAAGGCGTTGTAGCCCGAGTCGAGGTCGAAGAGCAGCTGTCGGATCTGCTCGGGACTGAGCTCGTCGGCCGCCTGCATCTCGTCCATCGCCGTCAACCACACCTGCAGCCGCTGCTTGCCTGCAACAGAACGGACGTCGGAGAGGCGACATGGGCCAATACGCCTGAAAGCCCGCCGCCCCCGCCGGAGACGGGCACACACAGACGAGGTGTTTCGAGGTGGGATGGGGACTGGAGGCAAGCGCAACGACATGCCCGCCACCTGCGCTCTGCTACTCAGGCAGATAACGCCACACTTGCATGCATGGTAAGATAACAACTAACGTTCAAAATACAATTCACATGCTTCAAAATCACAACACACCACCCGTTCGGGAAGTTCCCGCACGTATTCACTGCCACGACGCACGAACATTGCAGGCCGTCGCTCCTCCAGCTCAGGGTGCCGTGGGACCGCATGAGCGGAAACTGGCGCACCGCCGGCACGCCGGCGCCAGCCGACGGGGGGCAACAGGTCGGCTGGAGATGACGCTTACCCTCGAACTCCTCCGGCAGCATGGACAGTCGGTTCATCGTGTCCAGAAGGTCTCTGATGTCCGGCTGCAGCTCGTCCTTGGCCTTGATCTCCAGCCTCAGCTTGTCCATGATCGTGATGTACAGCTGAAAGGAGTCGCCGTCCATTCATGCAGCCACACCATGTGACATAGGGAGACCAACAACGGGTCGATCCACAAGGCTTTGTCCGCCTTATTTTAACCTTACAGAGAATGCTCCACATTTGTATGGGGCTCGCAATGAAGTGGCCATTTCAAAGATCATTCAGTGCAGCTCATAGCCCTGTCCTTAAAACCCTACAACCCTTTAATTTCTGAGCTACAAGCCAGTGGAGATGCTCATACTATCTCGTGCAGACAACTTAACACCTTAGAGTGAGGGATCAATATGCACGAACACCAGGGGTCAAAACACGAGCGCATAACGACGCTTGGACTAGCAAACACCCCCAGCATCGCCACTGCCACCTCTCGGGAGACTGAAGTACTGCAAATGAGTTCTTGGGTGGCAATTTCTCATGGCCAGCTTTACAGCACCTCAACGTCATACAGACGCACCATGGCGCAATCAAGCATTGACGTATTGAGGAGCATGTTTATTGAACATATAAACTTTGTTGTCTAGAGGAGTCTCCACTTATAAGCATATGAACAGTTATAAATGAGCATATTTCATCACATCTGATAGTTGCTTCAGTACCTTCAAATGTGGAACATTCCTTCTCAGAGGACGCGACCTAAGGATCCACGACACTTCACCCGCCTCAGGAACAGCCCATCACATCAAAGCAAGCTACCGCACTGACACAAAACCACCCTCTGTGTGAGAGTACCACAGCCCACAGGCAGCCTCAACACACCGGGCACACACAACCCGATGTCCCCTCCATCAGGGTCAAGCCGGCGGCGCGGCGCCGTGCGTCGGGTAGGCCTAGGGGCGTCTGTCGAGCCTCGCCGCCCCGCCTGTCCGCCGGCGCCCGTCCCATCCGGTCGGTCGGCGCCTGCCGCAGCCGGTCCGGCCGACCACAGCGGCTCACTCACCGACACCGTGTCGGCGATACACTTGCTGGTGCTGCCCTTGTCGTCCTTGATGGTGATCGGTCGGTCCTCACGAATCCGCTCCATGGCGGCCGGGCAGTCCAGCTGCCAGCATGGAGACACCGCACACTGCGTGGCGTGTGGGGGTGCGGGGTGGGGGTGGAGGGGTGGGGGGGGGGGGGGGACCACACCCGCTGGCCACAATACCGACAAAATGAGCACGCAGACGCTAAAACGCTGGTCTGCGGACTCAATGAGTGGCTGGGCCCGTGCACAACACAGAAATCCTGTATCACCTCGGGCCACCATGGTGATGACATAAAACATTGAGCCAGGGCAGGTCAATACCTTGAGCAGGAGTAATGCAAAGGGCGAGCAAAGATATCTTGGCACAGGCTGCACCGCCGATATTTCTCTTGAACGAATAACTTCCTGCGTTGGATGGACTCAGTCAAACTGTACCCGAACACCCCCGCCTGTTTCCCTTATCACGACACATCACACCAGTTTTGGACCATCTTCATTGTATGTCATTGCAAGATGTAGTCAAGCTTCTACAATAAAAAAGAACAGTTCTACCACACAGCCAGCCATGTCCAGGCTCAACTATGGTGTACCCTGAATCTCCTCATGAAGACCTCGACGTTGGGAAACTCCTCCGAGTGCACCTGGCGCATGGCCGCCTTGTACTGGACCAGCAGCTTGGAGCACGCCGCCGTATATTCCTTAGGCGTGACACGATCCTTGATGTACGCCTTCTCCAGGTTCTGCAGCGTGTTGATGACGGCGTACAGGTCCGCCATGTTGTCGTACCTGGCACGAGGAGCAGGTTCAGGTGAGTGCTAGACGCAGGAGCGGGCTCGGGTGAGTGCCAGACACAGGAGCGAGCTCAGGTGAGTGCCAGACGCAGGAGTGGGCTCAAGTGAGTGCCAGATGCAGGAGTGGGCTCAAGTGAGTGCCAGATGCAGGAGTGGGCTCAGGTGAGTGCCAGACGCAGGAGCGAGCTCAGGTGAGTGCCAGATGCTGAAGTAAGAGTGTGACTCAAACTGAGGGGGAAATATCACACACAATGCATTCAACAACAATGGGTCAACAATGAGTCTTTCAAACATACTTGCATGGCATGACCCAATATTGTAGATTGCAGCAATTGTTAACAAGGCGGCCACAATAAAACAAAGCTTACCTAAATAACATAGTCAAGGTTAAGACTGAATTTGCATTGTACTATCCCATCACATTTCACATTCATGGCATAAATGTCCATACACATACATGCAGAAGTTGATGCATGACAAAATAATGCTTCTCTTAAATGCAAAACCATCATCATCATTCATTATCTACATTATACAATGCATGCATTTCTAGTTTGGTGACTTTCTTACTTTTCGCGTTCGCGAGCATTTCTGTAGAGTTTCACCTCCTCATACAGCTCTGGTCGCTGGGGTTCTGAAAGGGAAGGGTCGTTTTCACAAAAATATATCTTACTGTATTCCCTAGGGCAGCAATGTGATTTATAGTACAACTGTACTCCAGAAAGCTTCCTTGTCTCACCAATCATGCGGCCTCATCTCACAGCCTGTCAAAATGCTAAGAACAAAATAAAACAACTGACATGAGGCCCTGTCCTGATCTGGCACTAACAGATTGTGGTCACTACTAAACTACATTGATAACATATTTAGCAGTGACCCAGGAACACGACACAATGATACCTTGCTGTAGATGTGCAAGATGCTAATAGATGACACTTTGAAACATTGAATATGAACAGGTCAACTTGTTGAGGGAGGGACAGTGCAGAGGCAACTTTTTGGTTTGATGTGTTCACCATACCAGGGTCATAAATGGATAAATATGACAATTGAACTACAGTAGCTACCTTAGGTTTAATGACTTGAGAGTAATGGGCAGTGGGTTATAATAGAAATGGAGCATGCATGCTACACAAACCACAGAGGTGTGTTTCCTGGTGGCACAACCCACAGGAGGCATGTGCCTCTTTTACCAACAAATCACCTTTGAGTACAAGTCATGGTCTCTCTGTGCATTCTTGACTGATCAACATGGGTAGCATCACAAGGGGCAAAAGGGGACAAACATATTTTTTGCCCCTCCAAAAAAATTCAGGTGGCTCAATCACACAAACAGGTGACTACACATGACTGAAAAATAATATTTCAGCAAATCAAAAGGATGACCTATAACGTTTGTGAGAGACAATATCAAACTCATAGCAGGCACAAAATGGCTAACATCACGACCTACTAATTGACAGGAGTCCCCAGATACCCCAAAAGAATAGAATAGGAGGTATAGGGGACATCTGATGCACAGGAGGCCCCATGCAAAACACTGGAAGCCCAACACACACCAGAGGAGGCCCAGATTAGGAAGACTGGAGGGAATCAGGGGGTTTAGAATCTAGATGACCTTTACCATAGTTCTAAACCTCCAGTCTTCCTAATCTGGGCCCCCTCTGGTGTGTGTTGGGCTTCCAGTGTTGTGCATGGGGCCTCCTGTGCATCAGATGTCCCTGTACCTCCTATTCTATTCTTTTGGGGTATCTGGGGACTCCAGTCAATCAATAGGTCCTGATGTGAGCCATTTTGTGCATACTCCTAAAACCCAAGAGAACTTTACAAATAAATTTGAGGAAAACATTTCAGATAGGTGTTGGGACAAATTGGCCCAGGTCTGTTTAGGAAGCCCGCAGACTTGCCTGCTCATCTTGGAAAGTTGCTGGTGCTACCCTTGTTCATTAATGTTGATTTTAGTTCACCGGGGCACCAATTAGATTCTTATTAACTGGTGTATGGGATGTAGGACTGACAGACATGAGCCTCCCCACTGTCAAAAATGGCAGGTGGTGTGCACTGACTGCTACTACAGCTTCGCCTGCCTTTTATTTTCTGAGCTGTTTGCTGGGGCCACCTTATTCTGCACACTTATGTCCACATTATGCAACATGCAAAGCAGCCAGGGAATGTAAGGGAGCTGAGGTTCTTCCTGTAGCTAAAAGACTAGTTCTGCAGGCTTGCTCTAGAGTGTGAACCCCCTCCACCCTGATAAGCTATTGAAGACAGAGGTACAGTTACAACAAATTTAAGCAGCCAACCAGCATTGGATCAACGGGATGAGAATTGTTGACAGCCAAACTCTGGACCATTTCAGTTGTGGCCATCACAACACCAAGACATTGGTGACAAGATTACTGCAGCACTGATGCAGCGGCAGATGAGCAGAAAACTGCTCCTCGCTGGCATCGTGGCCTTGTGACAGCTGAGGAAGGCATCATAATTGTTCAGGGCAGGGCAATCTTAATTTTCCTGTCACAAACATTCTCACCATGTCATCACACAGCAATGTCAAAAATCAATGGATAGCAGGGCTTGCCTAGCACCAAGCTTATGCCAAGTGATGCATGTCCCAAGCAAATACTGCGATTCGCACATGTGATGTTTAGAATGTGAACTTAATCCAAGCTAAAAGCATCAGTCTCATCCCATGACAAAATAATCAGTGAAGAGTGTGTAATGACAACATCCCCCAGCAGGCTCCATGTTCCATGCTATTTAATGATGACTACCTCCAGCTGCTCCAGGACCATGCTCAATGAGGCTCACCAGTCACCATGAAGCAGCACCCCAGCTGCTCCAGGACCATGCCCAATGAGGCTAACCAGCCACCATGAAGCAGTACCTCAGCTGCTCCAGGACCATGCTCAATGAGGCTCACCAGTCACCATGAAGCAGCACCCCAGCTGCTCTAGGACCATGCTCAATGTGGCTAACTAGCCATCATGAAGCAGTACCTCACTCTGGTTCACCCCTTTCTTAATGTCAATCTTGATTTTATATGCCTGGTGCTGACATAATGATCCTGCATTTATCATACATGTGTCCATCAGTGCCATCATACATGCCGCATCATTATCCCTTAGCAGAAAATAAGGTGTAGGTGTACTTTCCTACCTAACGTTAGAAAAAATCATTGCACACCATTCGTCGTGTTTAAGGCGGCACAAATCGTAAATAATCTCAAAACAGGTAGAATCATGCTCCTACCTTCGAATTTCAATAACTTCGATGGCGGGCTCCCGAGCGCGGCGCGCACCGCACCGCCTGGACTCCCCAGCGCCGTTTCTGCGTTGCCGTTGCGTAAATACAATATTTCTGCTACCAAGACCTGTACAAAATGTACGGGACCAAGGTAAACCATTCGTCGTGTTTAAGGCGGAACATATCGTAAATAATTGCAAAACAGATAGAATCATGCTCCTACCCTCGAATTTTAATAAATACGATAGCGAGTTCCCGAGCGCCGCACGCACTGCACCGCACCGCCTCGACTCCCAAGCGCCGTTTCTGCGTTGTTGCGAAAGCACAATATTTCTGCTTATCAAGAACCATAAAACATGTACGGGACCAAGGTAACAATAATAAAGCAACCAAAATCGTTTCTTATCGAGTTTAGGTACATTTATGAAACACACAGGTCAGAATAGTCCAGAACATATCCTAAACTAGCCTAACCTAACCTAACCAAACCTAACCTAACCTAACCTAACCTAACCTAACCTAACCTAACCTAACCTAACCTAACCTAACCTAACCTAGCCTAGCCTAGCCTAGCCTAGCCTAGCCTAGCCTAGCCTAGCCTAGCCTAGCCTAGCCTAGCCTAGCCTAGCCTAGCCTAGCCTAGCCTAGCCTAGCCTAGCCTAGCCTAGCCTAGCCTAGCCTAGCCTAGCCTAGCCTAACCTAACCTAACCTAACCTCCCCACCCTATATCCCCTTCAACCCAGCATCCCATAGCTAAGCTAAGCTAAGCTAGCCTGACCTGACCTGACCTGACCTGACCTGACCTAACCTAACCTAACCTAACCTAACCTAACCTAACCTAACCTAACCTAACCTAACCTAACCTAACCTAACCTAACCTAACCTAACCTAACCTGAGCTTAGATATAAGCTCATAGACCTTATGAGCTTAGATATAAGCTAATAGACCAGAACCTAAGCTTAGCTAAGCTAACCTACCCTAACCTAACTAACCTATCCTAACCTAACCTAACCTAACCTAACCTAACCTAACCTAACCTAACCTAACCTAACCTAACCTAACCTAACCTAACCTAACCTAACCTAACCTAACCTAACCTCCCCACCCTATATCCCCTTCAACCCAGCATCCCATTGGTGTCCATGTTTCATGCCATATATAGGTGCCATATAGTGAGCTTTTATTTAGATGTCATGTTCTCATTTTGCTTTACATTCCCCACCCAATCCCCCTGCAACCCATGGTCCCGTTGGCGTCGAGGATCAAATTTCATGGATTCTTGTTACCTTGGCCCGGTACATTTTTATGGTTCTTGATACTGCTTGATGCACAGTAATGTTGTGACCCGCGCAGTAATGGCGCCGGTGTCGCGGGTGCTGTGTGTGTGCGGCGCTCGGGAGTTCGCCATCGTAATTATAAAAAAATTGAAGGTAAGATTATGAATCTACCTGTTTTGTGATCATTTACGATATGTCCTGCCTTAAACACGACGAATGGTTTACTTTGGTCCCGTACATTTTGAAGAGTTCTTGGTAAGCAGAAATATTGTATTTACGCAACGGCAACGCAGAAACGGCGCTAGGGAGTCCAGGCGGTGCGGTGCGCGCGGCGCTCGGGGGTCCGCCATCCAAGTTATTGAAATTCGAAGGTAGGAGCATGATTCTACCTGTCTTGAGATTATTTACAATATGTCCTGCCTTAAACACAACAAATGGTGTACAATGATTTTTTCTAATGTTAGGTAGGAAAGTACACCCTGACCAAAAATAAGTATCTACTAATGCTTTCTCACAATATACATGACAGCATCATGCACACAACAGAGATCATGAGGACCCTAGCTGGATGGCCTGACACAGACAGTGGCCTGAAACCTTTGAATCAGATTTGTGATCATTGTCAGTCCCACCATCAGGTGGTATACAGACAAGACTTCTTACATCCCAGCATTTAGTACCTTTCCAAAATAGGCAGTGGCTGGAAAGTACACATCAGCATTGCCAGCCTTATAACACCACTGCCCCTGGCATTTTATTGTCCATCTGCATGATAGGCTACCATAACACATGAGCAAAATTTGTTCTAGGTCACAGCTGAACCCACACACACTTAATACAAATTGTCAAGGCATATGCACAAATTCCAAGTTAATGAGCGATGCTTAGCCCACCAGAAAACTTTGGTATGATTGCAAATTCCTGAGATCAAAAGTGATACCAAGTGATCCCTATAAAAAGCCAGGCAGAACATTTAAAATGTAAGAATAAGATGTCATACTCTTTAAGGGCTATGCATACTTTTGGAAGTAATATACACTTAAGAAGGTAAGTGCCTTCTAGGAGCATATATACACCATAGGAGTAAGGGGCTGAGCAGTGAGAAATGATGCACCTACCCCACAAAATATGCTAACAAATAGGTTTTACCCTAGATTTGGCCCATTTCTTCCAAAAGTTTAGGGGTGCCAAAATTCTAGTTTTGGGGGTGTTAGAGCCCACTTACTCATGTAGTGAACAGCACCCAGGTAAGACTGCACACAATTCACAATACACTGATCATGTCACGGATAGCAGTGGCATCCCAATGACAATTTCAGAGCATGCACACCATAAATCTGAGAACCCAGGCTTCAGTTCATGATTGCCACCAATTTCAGCAAACAGAGGGCCAAGGCATCATGGAACTGTGATGTTGTCTAGGTCATTTCAAGACAAAAAGCTCTCAAACCTTTCTTAAGATGAACATGGGGCTAGGTCCACCAAGGGACCTCTGATCTCTTACCATGCTCCTTGGTGCCTTAAGTGCAATTCAACCTGGCCAGGGTTTCACAATCCAGTTTGATGCAGGCATGGTCCAGTCAGTGCACATCACATAGGTGTCCAGCCAAGCTGTTTTTTTTCAGATTGAGCCCCATGGTACCTGCCTACCTACATCTGCGCCACATAGCAAAGGCCTATGAATAACCCTGAATGATAACATTTACTAATGGATGCAACATTCGCCGATGATCCAACACATGAATTTATGTTCCACTTAATGTAATACATACCTTGAAAACTAGTAGAAGGTGTGTTCAAGCCCGAAAACAAAGACATGGTCTCAAGAATCAGTAGGATTCGTGCTGGCCTCAAAACCGTTCGAGACCTCAGTCCGACCGTGAGACGCGGTCACAGTTAGTACTAGAAAACCAACAAAAGATCCTGGCGGTCCGGTTCTTAACCCTGACGACTTTGTAACGTTATCAGTCTTGAACCATCTTCATAAAATAGCGCGCTGCCGGAGGGCTTATGATGAATCATCCGGAATCACCCAACGCCAATGTCACCTCAAAATAATATTAGATGATGTTGCGCCGGTTTTGCCACAATGTACTTGTGCGCGAGATACTGGTCGAAGCCATTAATTTATCAATCAGCATTTACGGCACATTGACGCCAGACCCACGTCATAAATGTCATAAGCGCTCGGTTAGCAGCGTTCAGTGCAAAAGGCGCTGTACACGATTTGTTTTAAAGTCATTCGATCGATTGTGCGAGAGGGTTTCAGTACCTATGCAGTCACAGACAATTCATACTACATTAGTATCAGTCATCACGCTCTCACCAATTTTGCTCAATTTTAGGGCGAACCACTCGAGCCAAGCCAAAAGAAACCGAGGGCATTGCACACCACTGCCCCTCATCCATTCTTTTCGTCATCGTGTCAACTCAATTATATTGCACGACATGTACCGCACTTAAATTGCTAGATAGTACACAACATACTAGCCAAAATTTCCTTAGTTATGACACGAGCCCCCACGTGAACGTTTCCATACTACCACGGACACGAAATAAACGACGCAGCAAAATCACCTCAAATGTCATGCCGCACCTGATGGAGACCCGGAGGACTTTGTCCAACGGTTGCCTCCTATTTCAACGATACAACAATGCGCGCTCCAGGATTCGTCGTCTAGCGCACACGGATGATTCAGCGAGTGAAACGCAGGACAAACAAAGGGCATGTGTATTCTAAGGCAAATGTTTGGATCGGGGCGCGGTCAGCACCATTCCGCAGAAGCGCTCTCAATCACACTTGCCTTTCCCTTCTGACATTTAACATCTGACATTCTGCGCGATACAAGGGAAACGCCTAATGACATTAAAACGGCACTGCATTTATCAAAAACATTGGCGACCACCGCTGGCATCTCATCCTGAAATTCAACGCAAATCAAACATGCACACATAAAATTCGGAGACAGGTGACACGCTGCCCGAAACCAATGGTCATCAAAACCCACGACGCGCATACCGCGAGGAGCGACAGAAAACCTAATCATCAGAAAATGCGAAGGCTGACAGCTTGGCCAGTCCCGAGCCGGCTTTGGGGGCAGTCTTGACGTCAGTGTTCACTGTCGTCTTTTCCTGTTCCTTGTCGCTGATGGGCTCCGTGTTCTCGACATTTTCAACACTCTCAGACGACAGCTTGGACACGAAAGCGCTTCTGATCGACGAGGTCAGCTTTCCGGCTGCCTCCTTGCTCACCCTGGGTCGCTTCAACTTGGCTGAAACCTTCGCCTTCCCCTCTGGCAGCACCCGCTTGGTCGACGCCTGCTGACGTTTGATGTCGTCGAATACGGATGCGCCCCTCCCAGCCTGAGGCGCCTTGGCCGTGGCGCACTTGAAGGGGTTCCGAGGACTGGGCGTGAAGATGACGGGGCTGGCGGGGCGCGCCGCGCGCTGCAGATCGGGAAGCGTCGGGGGAACGGAATCCGCGTCTTCCTCTTGCTCCTCCTCCTCAGCCGACATCTCGGCGGGGTCCTCCTGGCGGCCCGGCGCCTGCGGTGGCTCCTCGCGCCGCGCGTTCGGCCGCGGCTCGTCCTCCTCCTCCGCCTCGTCCTCGTCCGGTGGCGCGTCGGCCAGCGTCTGCGCCAGGCGGACGAGCCGGTCGGCCAGCAGCGCGCGCCGCTGCCGGGAGGCGTAGCCAGCCACTGCCTCTACTGTGGACACCTCCTCCATCTGCGCAGCCACATCCAGCGCGCGGTGCTCCCGGTCCGTGCGCACGGCCAGCGCGAACAGCTGCGTGAGCGCGGCGGCGCGGGCGCGCCGCGGCTCCACGCGCGCCTCGTCCGTGTCGAAGCCCGCAGCGCCCAGCCGGCCGAGCGCGTCGAGCAGAAGCCGTGCACGCACCGCCTCCTCCTCGAGTCGGCCGCGCGCCGTGTCTGGCTCGGCTAAAGGCAGGCGAAGCGGAAGCAGGCTGAGCGCCGGACGTGGCAACACAGCCGGGAAGCGGCTGCCGCGACAGAGCAGCACACGCGCCGTCTGCTCCAGCTCGCTGACGCTCACCACAAACAGGTGGTCGGCGCCTGGGTGCGGCGCCTCCAACGGCGTCCAGGCCGCGCCGTGCTGGCCGGTGAGCAGGCGCAGCGCACCGCTCGTGTCGGACACGCACGGCGTGCCCTGGTCTGTGAAGCCGGCCCAGGCAAGGCGCGCGCGTGGCGCCAGCGGCACCGGCACGGGCGCGGGCGCGACGCGCGGCGGCCGCCGGCCTGCCGCCGACAGTACCTGCGCCGTCAGGCTCTGCTCGCCCGGCAGGCCAGTGCCGGCGTGCTGCACGATCAGCAGCCGGTCCTCCCAGCCGGCCAGGCACACCACCGGCCCGCTGAGGCTCAGCACGTGACGCTGCACGCCTGTCAGCGTGAGGAGGCGCAGCAGGCGGTGGCTGGTGGCCACCGCCAGCCAGCCGGCACCGAGCGCGGCCGCCTCCGGCTCCTCGCCGGCGGCCAGGTCGAGATACCACTCCTTGTTGGAGTCCCACGAGCCGAAGTGCAGACACTGCAGCTTGGCAGGCTGGTCGTCCTGCCCTGGCGCGGCCAGCAGTAGCGCCTCGTCCGACAGGGCGGCCAGCGTGTGGCCGAGCGCGTTGCGCAGGTGCAGCGGGTGGTGCACGGCCGAGTCGTGGAACTCGACGTCGATGGACTCCTCGTCATGCGCCGTCACCACGCCCACCGAGTTCCAGGCCAGGAAGCGCCGCTCCAGGTGGGCAGGCGTGCTACCCGGCTGGAACGCGGGCTGCGGCTCGGCGAAGGCGGGTCCGCGCGGCGCCGGCGGCGGTGGCGGCAGGGCCGGCGTGGCGCGCGCCGACTCGCCGCCCTTCGCGCCGCTCTCCTCGTCCGAAACGAAGCCCGACTCGGCCTTGATCTTGCGCAGCGAGATGACGTTCTCGTCGTCGTCGTCGCTATCGGCGCCCGTCGGCGCCTCCAGGGTGTTCCGCTCGCCGTCCAGCGCCGCCTCGAGCAGGTCTCGCTCGTCGTCGTCGTCGTCGATGGCCGCCTGTAGGCTGTCGAGGTCCATTGGCGCATCGGCGTCAGCGTCGGCGTCAGCGTCACGGCCGGCACGCACGCCCGAGGTCACGCCCAGCTGGCCGGCGCAGTCGCTGAACGCTAGCCGGTCGCCGTCCGGGTGCCAGCAGAGCGCGTTCAGCCGCAGCTTGGCCTCGTGCTGGTCGATGCGCCGCGCCTCGGCGCCGCCCAGCCGCCACTCCACCAGCAGCCCGTCCTGCGTGGCCGCCGCCACGAACCGACCACACGGCGAGAAGGCGCACGCGGTCACCGGTTTGGTGAGCAGCGCGCTGGCCAGCCGGCCCGACTCGGCCCAGTCGGCGCCCGAGAAGAGGCGCACGCCGCTGCCCACGGGCACGGCCGCCGTCTGGCCGTCCGGACTCCAACCGGGCCGCGCCGGACTCGGCGCCGTGCTCACGTCGTTGGCGACGGCCAGCAGCGCGTGCGACGCCAGCCGGCGGCCGGAGCGCGCGTCCCAGAAGCCGACGCGGCCGTCGCAACAGGTGGTGAGCAGCACGGCGGCGCGCGGGTCGAGCGCCACGCTCAGGACGGGCGCGCCGAAGCCGTCGATCTCCAGCTGACGCTCGCCGTCCAGCGAACTGACGCGCGCCACCATGTCGCAGCCGGCGGACGCCACCAGCTCGCCGGCCGCGTGGATGTCGGTCACGGGCGCCGTGTAGCGCGTCAGCACGCCGTCCGGCTGCACGCCCGGCAGCCGAAAGGCGGCCACCGCGTGCGCGTCCGTACCGACGAGCAGCCGCGGCCCGGCGGCGGCCAGCGCCGTCAGCGTGTCGCCCAGCGGATGCGTGTCAGGGTCGTCGTCTTCGACGCCACGCCACAGGCGCAGCTCGCCGTCGCAGCCGACAGTGGCCAGCTGACTGCCGTCGCCCAGGTACAGCACGCCCACCGGACCCTCTGGGTGGGCGTAGCGCACGTACGTCTGCGCTGAAGCCATGGCTGGGCAGGCAATGTCCAAGGTGATCAGCTGAATCAGCAGGGTGATTTCTGTGAGACACTGGAGATGAACTTGATGACCCTAAAATACATATCATGGTAGCATAGCAGCTGCAAAATATCTATCAAGTCATAGTTTAAAATGATGTCTAAATGCACCAATATGCCTTTGGTGTGTGCAGTTATAACATTGCTGGGTATATAACTAGATTTTGTGCTATGGATCACCCTCAGGAATTGAACAAAGCTTGCTGACTATGCCAAGCACACATGATAAAAATGGCAGTATGGAATTTGATGTCATATGGCAGAACAGTGCATTTTCAATGCAGGCTCTTGTTACAGGAGGCATGCTGTATCCATGAATCATATACACAAAAATTTGCACATGCATGTACAGCAGGTACAAGATGAAGGTAGTAGTGTGCACATAGCAGCTAGATGTGTCCAACAATTCATTGGAGTCATATCTTTCATAAGTCCTCCGCTAGCTGCTACAAATATCTTGGCTCCCAGCCATGTTTCACCTTATTCACCACCACTGCCTGAACTTGGGCTGTACTACAAGGTGAGTTGTCAAAAGCACTAATTATTACTTAAGATGCTGGGTCAATGTTGCAGGTCCTCTCAATCATTCTTACACCAAGGGGGACAAGGCTGTAGTTTGATGACATCAGTTTGGGCTGAGCAGGAAGAAATGGCTGTAATAATCCCAAAGTTTACCAAAAATTGGTTCTTCAAGATTAAAATTTCTTTTATAAATTTGGGGGTTAGTTGATGATAATTTGAGGTTTATGGCATACCACTCAAATGAAATGAAAAGGAAACTAAACTCTTGTCAAATTGTGTTAACTATCATAACATCTGCACCACAACACTACATACACACTATACACTCACCAAAGTTACTGTACCATAAACTGATAACAGAATCTCCATCTTTTATTGTAGTCTTCATGTCAAAACACCAAAACTCCATCCAGTGCTAGACAGCAAAGCATAACCAGACAATGGCATGACACGTTTATTGCACGCTGCCAGGGTGCCAGTCTGGGGCGTGATGGCTGCGCATTCAAAATATTTACCGCACCAAGATATTATTGAATAGGTGTATATGAACAAAGCTGCGCGTGACACCGCTGCACAAAAGTACCAACCTGCTCAAATCTACCAGGGACGTCACGGAGACGTCCGGCGCCGCGGAGCCACAGAAACAACGTAACCCAAGTGAATACTCCCGCCAAATCGACCCGCCAGCCACGGATGCTACCATATTCCCACAAGAAGCATATCTTTAATTTTGCTGTATTTGTCCGTGTAAAAAAGTGTTTTCGGCTTTGATTGTGCCTCTAAAATGGCTTAACCACCAATCTTAGAAGGACACAAACTGTTCCATGGTGTTGGAGAGTCAAATTGTTTTATGTCTCGAATTTTTTCCAATTTCGGAAACCTTCATTTTCCTTTGCCTGCATCATCGCTGCAAGATCACCGCGTTGCCGGCTTTGCCGTGCACGGCATGCCTATGTACGCCCCCCAATTGGATTTCGGCTTTTGCTCCTCTCGAGCTGTGGTTCTTCATTCCATAGATGTGGCATGGCTGATATCACCGCAGTTATGTTCATTCGGCTGCAAAATTCGCGCCAGATAACCTTGCATTTCGATTACGAGCGCCAGACTCGCCCCTGAAGCTCCCCGGGGCTCCGTGTTGATAACGCGAGTTTGAGCCAAATGACCCAATGAGCCAAATAGCCCAAAATGCGTCTTCAGACCTGTTAGTGAGCTGTTAGGTATATATCGGATATGCTCGGTCGATCGTCCTTGCGGTTTCAATTGAAGTCATCTGTTGACGAGCTGCGAGAGTCGGAGCTGTCGGCTTCGCAGTACCGTGCATGTTTTAATTTAAAGGTAAGGTGATATTATCTTGCCATTTGCGAGCATAGCTGCTGTTTTTGGTGTAAATTGTGGCCTTCTGCAAAGATTTAATTCTAACACAAAGGAGTGCAGTGCCGAGGCAAGGCAATCAGTCCCTGTAGTGACATATGCAAATAAATAACCTGAGGTCACCTTCAAAGGTGACATGGTGCCCTTGTAGCCTATACCTGTGGGTTTTTGACACAAACAGTTTTGTTGTTTAAGGGATTTTTAAATGTTCAGTGCTGGAGCTATAATCCCCCTGATGTGCAGCTGTTTTCATGAATGTATTAACATGCTCAAGTTACCAAGGGCAGACAGCAGCTTGTGATGTTTGCATGTACAGGTTGTATAGCTTGTTTTGCAAGTTGAATGTATTGGGTTATATGTTGATCATATGAGGAAGGTGAAGTTGTGGTGTTTTGCAGAATTGCAAGGAAAAAATGGACTGGCCACAGAGCTCACATGTAAATTCCCTAAAGCACAGCTGGTAGAAATTTCAAAGTGTTATGATCAACAGTTGCAAGGATGTCTCAAAGTGCAACTTGCAAGGCCTGGCTGGGTGGCCAACTGAAGCTATAAATATTGGCCATTTGATGCTAAGGCTCTCAGAGCCTGTAGCCAATGATGTTGCTTAAGATGGAAAGGTGATTTTTTGTGCTTGTTTATGGATTAGACAGGCTCATCTCTGTGGAAGGGGTGTGCAGGCACTTGAATGTGAGTTACCCAACCCATTTATTGATGCAGAATGCATAAAGTATGTAATGTGATGCATAAAGCCTGAATAGTTACGCTCATTGGCAAAAGTTATGATAGGTTATTATTATTGTCATTTCAATGTGGTCCTGTGTTATCAAATGATTAATGTATCTTAACTTGCTGTTTAAACTGCCAAAAAGTTGGGGGATACACTGATGATGGTTTGTTCATTTTTACAGGTGACTATGGAATCTGTACACCACATGGCAGTGACATATGAGGACTTGCTCCATGGTGTGGTAGCGAGGTAGTGAGGTGTGAGAATTGGCTCCTGTCAGAGCATTGTCCACCAGCTGTGCTTCATCCCCATCTATCATCTATTCTGTCATCTGCCGCCGGTGAACCAGCAGGTGAGTGCATCAAACTGGTGCCTTCATGAGGTGCTCACTGTTGTATACTGCTGTGGAAAACCTGCGCCTAAGTGATTTCGTGCGTGCACGCGTCGGTTCGCGCCTGTTGCGTAGGGAAATGGCCGACCGAATCTTTCGTACGCAACAGGCGTCAGTATCACTGGCATGAATATCGGCGATGGGTATTGGACGGGAAACGTGAAACCGTGCACAGTTGGGGACCATCCTAAGGATAGCGGCCTCACGCCGAGCGCTTCTCCGCCTTCATCGAGAAACCGCGGTACGCGACAAACCACCTTGTATGGACAGACAGTGCACGCTCTTTGTTCGTTACCGCAGCGTTGGCGTAGGTTAGGGGCGTGGGATGGTTTGCCCTGTCATGCGTCATTAGCCGGCGGCGGGCTGAGCACCGCCAGAAATCCCTGGTGAGTGTCTGTACATCGATCCAGGTCAGGCGGGGTCAGGGGTGCGAGCGAACGCGGCCGTCGGACCCCGATCGATCTCAGGTCAGTCGGCCTTCGCCGCCGCCGCCGCCGCCGCCGCTGCCGCCGCCGCCGCCGCCGCCGCCGCCGCAGCCGCGAGCAGGGCGTGCCGATGCTGTCGCCTGCCGCGGGCCCTCGATACGGCTAGTTCGATGGCCCTCTTGTTTCCATGACGACGCATAAACAGCGGCGACGGCCGCGTCGCCTTGATTGGAGTTGTGGCGGCTGGAGTGGGTCGCGGGGCCGACGCCGGCCGCTCCCCGACAACGGCGGGCCCGGGCCGGCCCAGCCTGCGATCCGCGCACCCTGCCCCCGCGCGCCGGCGCGCCCGTGCGCCCGCACGCGGCGCACCGGGCTTGACACAGCCTCCCTGTGAGTCGGACCACCTGGGTGTCCGAACGACACCAGGTCGGAAGGCGCGGAATATATGGTTCCGAAGCCCCCTCCTGCTAGCCCACATATGTCTGATCGATCCCGCTGCTTCAGCTGGGCCTGCTGATGTCATTCAGAGAGGCGCTCGGCACGCGTGGGGTCACTTGATGCATTGCGGGGCTGCAGTTCCTGAATCAAACTGTTCGCGTCCGGGCTCGGCGAGGCACAGCTACTCAAAAGTCCATCCGCTGCGCCCCTCCCCCTCGCCGCGTTGTCTCGGCCGGCACGTGCTCTGTCGCGCTCTGCCACCTGGCGGAAAGTGGAGGCGACTCCTGGGCCGGGCCATCAAACGTTGTCATGGCAACTGCATGATTGATTTCCGGCGACTGCAGAATCTGGACGCTGCCGTGCTCGCCAGGCTCGTAACCTCTTGCAGCCGTCGCCCGGTCATGAATTTTCTCCTTCGGTCGGACAGGATCGTCACTATTTCCACGAAAACAGCGGTCTCGTTGTGTGTTCCCCTTTATTTTTTCAGCGGACTGCCGCCAAGCGCTTTTCAGAGAAGTCTTCGTCATTATTTCGACCTGAGATATGATGTTCCAGGAAGCCGAAACTGCCCCGGGATTACCCCCGTCGAGCATGCCACCCCACTCTGCGATTAGTCTCGACGTCCGTGCACCACGGAGCACGCTGCCAACAGACGTGCCGGCGCGGTTTAGTTCCTGGCTTTGCCGCCTGGCGGCGCGCCGCTGGCGCCCCTGCTGCCCTCTAGCATCGATCTGTCGTCGGCCGCGGCGCGCTGCCAGAGTCCACGGCGGTCGGGCCGGCGCTGCGACCCGACCCCGTGGCGGCGTCTCGTGCAGCGGCCGGCGCGCCTCCTCGACACGTCACCGTCGCAGCGGTTCCGGCTGGGGGGCGCCGGGGCTGTCCCGCGCCGTGCCGGAGAGCCGCGACACGTCCGGCGCCGCTCGGGCGGCGCGCCGACGGCAAGCGACGCCGCCATTCATGCCTGCGACGCGGGGGCGGGTGGTGCGTGGGGGCCGTGCCCCCCCCCCCCCCGGTGGTGCCGCGAGCCGACGGAGGGGGCTGGGTGGAGTGTCGGCGTCATTGATCCGGTCCGATGACGACCGTCGGGTCCGGCCGCGGCGCGGTCCCGGCGGACCACTGGTTGCTCGGCGCCGCTCACCAACAGGTGGTGCCGCCAAGAGCCCCGCCTCCGGGTCACGGGCTCTGGGGTGCTGGCCGAGCCGCCGGCTCCGGGCCCGCCTGCCCAGCGCGGCCGACCCCGAGCCCGAGGTGCACTGGCCGCCCGCTCGTCCCCTCCCCACAACTAGTGAGGGTCCTGTGCGGGTTGTGGGAGGGGGAGGGGAAGGGGCTTCCGCCCGCCATGGCTCTCTCCGACCCTTATTCCCCGGGACTGGACTTGCCCGCGCCGTCCGTCAGCGACTGGGCGGAGGGTGTCGTCAAGCCGCTGGGGGCTGTCACCTGTCACCCTGTCACCTGCTGGCTGAGTGAACGCCCGGCACCCATGTCGTCGCTTTCAGCGTGTCGCGCGGCCGGGACGGGCCGGGCCGTCCCCAGCGGCCCGGCTTGGCTGCGAGCCATCGGATACACGGGCCGCTTACGCTGCAGGGTCGAGGCCGGTGGACGGCCTTGATCGCTCACTACTGGCGGCACTCGCGTGATTTATAGATACAGCCCCGCGTTGGGCTGCAGCCGTGCCGGCTGGTGGGCGTCTGTACGTAGAGTTCTATGACATGGGCGTTTTCATGGTATGGTCGTCGCATTGTGCTAGTGGCTCATAGCTAGATAGTTTATTTCGTTTTTGTTTTTTATCTCGCCACGTTCATTTGGATGGACATGGCGTGCGGGCAGGATATCCTGATACTTGGCGCAAGGCGCTGATTGCTATTCCATTTATCCGCGCTGGTCTGAATCGGATGGCCGACCCCGGCCTTCGTCGAGGTGCGCCAGTGTCCGCTGCCTGCCGGTGGCGCCCGCCACACGCGCGGCATCCTTCACGTGACGTCGCTACACGCGCGGCATCCTTCGCGTGACGTGTGTCGGCCGCTGGCTGCGCGCCCGTCGCCGCGGCAGCTGTGGGAAGGGGACACGTGTGGGCCCCGTGACGGCTGAGGCCTGCCGGGGGAATGAGCGAGACGTTACTGTGTGCTCCGCGCGTCTGCTGCGTCTCTGCTCGGCGCTGATGTGGTGGCGTCGGCCGCACGCCCGTTGTGCCGCCTCCGCGTGCCCCTGTGTCCCTGCTGTCCTGCGCCAGTGGGCGACTGCTGCTGGGTTGAGGCGGGACAGACCGATTGTGCCCGCTGGGTGTCCCCACTGGGTCTGATGTGACCCTGCTGTCCCTTGATTGCTGCGCCGGTGTGTGTATGCTTGTGTGCTGCCGTGTGGTGACCTGATCAAACCGGCCGGCCTCGCCCCGCCGTGGCCCACCTAAGGACCGTTTGGTTGCTGCGGTGTCCGTACCTTGCCGTGCTGTCATGTTCCAGCGGGCAGTTGTGCCTGTGCTGTGCTGTGCTGTGCTGTGCTGTGCTGTGCTGTGCTGTGCTGTGCTGTGCTGTGCCATTCTGTGCTGTACCGTGCCGTGCCGTGCCGTGCCGTGCCGTGCCGTGCCGTTCCGTGCCGTGCCGTGCTGCTGTGCTGTGCTGTGCTGTGCTGTGCTGTGCTGTGCTGTGCTGTGCTGTGCTATGCTGTGCTGTGCTGTTTGGGTGGCCATGGCTGACACAGCTGTTTTGGTTAGCGGCTCTGTTCTTGGGTGTTGTGTGCGTGCCTCGCTGTGCTGATGAATATCTGTTTCGCGCTGTGCTGTGCCGGCATGTGACTGCGCCGTGCCCATGCCGTGCTGTGCCGGGGGCAGCGGAGTCCGTGCTGTGGTGGTGGGCGGCTGCTGTCGGGCCGGGAGAGCCGGCCGGCCGGCCGCCGGCTGCCGCGCTAATGTGTGGGCCGGCGCCGCCATACCGGCCGGGCAGGTCAATACCAGAGGGCGCTCGGGCCGGCGCGGCCCGGCCCGGCCCGGTCGATAGCCGGCGGCCTGCTGGGCGGCCGCAGCCGGCGCGCCACCCGGCACACCGCACACGCCGACAGCCACCGTCAGAACACTGAGGACGGGCAGAACACAACGGACACATATAGTCACCGTCAGAACACAGCAGACACGGACAGCCACCATCAGAACACTGAGGACGGGCAGAACACAACAGACACGGACAGCCACCGTCAGAACGCTGAGGACGGGCAGAACACAACAGACAAGGACAGCCACCGTTAGAACACAGCAGACACAGACAGCCACCATCAGAACACTGAGGACGGGCAGAACACAACAGACACCGACAGCCACCGTCAGAACACTGCAGATGGGCAGAACACAGCAGACACGGACAGCCACTGTCAGAACACTGAGGACGGGGAGAACACAACAGACACCGACAGCCACCGTCAGAACACTGCGGACGGGCAGAAACACAGCAGACACTGACAGCCACCGCCAGAGCACTGAGGATGGGCAGAACACAGCGGACACGGACATCCACCGTCAGAACACTGAGGATGGACAGAACACAGCGGACACGGACATCCACCGTCAGAACACCGAGGATGGGCAGAACACAGCAGACACGGACAGCCACCGGCAGAACACTGAGGATGACAGAACACACCAGACACGGACATCCACCGTCAGAGCACTGAGGACGTGCAGAGCACAGCAAACACGGACATGGGCTTACAGAAAACCGTGAGGACGGGCACAGCACTGCACACACGGGCAGGACTCTCAGCAGGGACAGGACTCACAGATACGGACAGAAACTGTCAGTGGGTCACAAGCACCCGGGGACCACCGACCCCGAACAAACAGCGCGCAGAGCTTCAGCACAGTGGACACGTACTGCCCCCGAACACGTAGTGTGGACACGGGAACACGATGGGGACATCACATGGTGACATGGTATGGACACCTGCATACCTTGATATGGACGATGGTGACATATTACATGGCGACATGGTATGGACACCTGCATACCTTGACATGGCTAGACATAAACGGGCATCGTAGAAGCGGACAGGCGGCGCAAACAGCGAGGGACATGACAGGACATGGCAAACAAAGCCGTGCCACTAAGCGAT